GTCCTATTACTAAGACTCCACTGTCTGTCTGTTTGTCCGTCTGACGCCAGGCTGTATCTCATGAACCGTGATAGTTAGATAGTTGAAATTTTCACAGATGATGTATTTGTTGCCGCTATAACAACAAATACTAAAAGACAATAAAAAAATTTTGAATGGGGCCCCCGTACGACAGCTTTTTTTTGCAGTTTTCATTGATAGTGGTACGGAAGGCTTGGTGCGCGAGTCCTACTCGCACTTGTCCGATTTTTATTTACGTTGGGTCGATATTACATGGGTCCGGTTCACGTTTATAATTCTAAAAACGAAAACCATTTAACTACAATCAGCGTGAACCTTAAATTGTTATTCGGTGTTTTTTTCTTAGATCATATATTCGATAGAGACAAACAACGACTTGGAAATCTTGAACAAATAGTTGCCCATCACTTATATTCCGCGTGAGTTCGTCATTGCCTAAAAAAATAGAACCTCGAACTAGCCTGCAAGCTGGTTCAAGGACTAGTTACATATTAACCTCTGATTAGAAATTAAACACTCTACGAAAAGAAAACTTCATTTTAAATTGTATGTTCATTAAGAGAACGTATAGTCTATTTCAAAGGTAAAAACACGTATTTGAAACTCGCGCGACCAGATTTCGATCAAAATACTACTCCGAATCTATTTATCTCTAATTATTATTTTATATATCATTGCCTAAAAATGTCTTCGAGATTATTAAAACTCTCGGAAATGGCTCCAGCGAGTGTTACAGCGGTGTTATTTCCAATATACATGTGTACTAAAAACAAATTAGAAGATTTTTTTGGGAAGTGCCTAAATTTACACAGGAGGTTCAGACTCGGTAGTATAATCGTTTAATGAAATAAAAAAACAAACAAATAAATGAGTTGCGTATAAATGACGCACTTTTTGAGATAAGTTCAAATGAATGTAATTAATTACTTACGAGTGATTTTAAATATTTATCATTTTTAAATAACATTATTAATGTCTAGAATTTAATTTAAAAAAATGGATACACTTAGAAAAGCCACCCTGTAGACTATTGTATATAATTATATTCATATACTGTTGTATATATATATATATATATATAAAAACACTTGTAGCATTATCATTATTAAATCCTTGTGATCACACGGTACTTGTTGTCGCTATACAGACATACAGTGGACAGTAGACATCTTATTAATCAAAGCGATTGTCGTTCAAATTGTGAAGCGGAAAGCAAAGCGGCAATTTTATTGTTTGACTAAAAAACACTGGGCGCCAATTTTGTATTATTTCTAAAGGCGTTTTTATTTTTTGTCGGCAAACCATAACTTAAATAATTCTTCATGAAATTTAATAATTCAAACACCATTTTAGGTAAATTCTATTTTTGTAGCTATTGAAAAATTGACAAGTAGAATAAAGTTAACGTGTTTATAAAATAAATTTAAGTTTGAAAAATTCTATTTCATAAAAAATGTATCATAGATAAACACATCTTCAACATCTTCATTGATAAACACATATTGCCACATTATTTTATTGATATTTGGCTGATTGGTAGGTCAACTAGTTGATACAAATAATGCAAAGGTCCTCTCTTGCATTTAAAAAACGGGAGCATTCTGAAGAAATAAATTTTACTTCTTTCTAATAATAGTCTATCCAGTGCTTGACCGCTATTTTATGGTAAAGTGCGACACGGGTGATAAATAGGTAGGTAAAACCTATTCATTCTAGTCTTAGCATAGGCTATCCTCTTCCTTCGCAGTACGCATATAATACGCATATGAAAACTGAAGCATTGATTAAGTTTAGTACAGACAACCAATCCGATTTGTACCCAGATTCCGCTGATTACTCTAATATTGTTTGTTTTTACCTGCGGATTTGTACACTTCGTATACCTCACGATGTTTTCCTTTATCGCTGAGCACGTGATGAGTGGTAAAATGGAAATAAACTATTTCATCGGTGCCGGCACCGGGAATTGAACTCAGGTTGCCCGACTACAGAGTTAAAAGCAAGCAAGTCGACACCGAGCTGGCTCAAAACTTTAATAATTCTTATTTATGTAAGATGATTAAACAGTTTAATTTAGAGGTGATTAAAGAGTACGAGAGGTTAGAGATAAAAATGACAGAGACACGATTCAATTGACTTTACCGACAGTTTGCAGTTTGCCAAACTTTAAGGGAGCTTTGTCTAACAAAATTGCCAGACGAAATACAGAAGCATTTTACCTTCGTGCCGATTTTCTTACGTCTAGGGATGTACCGCGACCTGCCTCTACGAAAGATTTTCGCGGGAACAATGATTCTGAATTTAAATTGGTTTATGTGACTGATAGCTAAAATATCGTCGGTAGCAATTTTCTGCACGAATGAAGAATTAAAATAAGAAAATCAAAGGTTTTTCTATCCCTCTTCTCCCCTTTTTAGGGTTGCGTACCCTTGGGGTTAGCGTATCTTTATAGATAACCCCATAAAAATAAAGATAATAAAAAAGGGTTGCGTACCCAAAGAGAAAACCTGTTCTATCACTAACACTCCGCTGTCTGTCTGTCCGTTTGTTGCCAGGCTGTATCTCATCAGCCGTTATAGTTAGACAGTTGAAATTTTATTATATATATATGTATATATTATATTTCTGTTGCCGCTATAACAACAAATACTAAAAAACAAAATAAAAAGTATTTAAGTGAGGCTCCTATGCAACAGACATGATATTTTGCCGTTTTATAGATAATGGTACAGAAACCTTCGTGCGCGAATCCTACTCCCACTTGTCCGATTTTTCTAAAACTTTATTGGTATTATTTAAATATGTAGAAAATTATTGGTAATCAATATTGTTAATACTTCTAAGAAATAACTCAATCGGAACATCAAATTTCGCTTCGATTATTAAACGACATTCCGGCGATGACAATCAACTAGAAATGTTTTTTGCTCTGAACTAAACAAAAAATGAGAGACAGAAAAAAACGCCATCTTTTTTTAGTTTTTTTTTCTTAAGGAACAGATTATATAAATCATAGTCTCTAATTCTGGCAATTTTATATCAAACTATAGTACAACTTGTCTGTGACAGATTAATGAATAGAGACATTATTGTCGTTATTATGACAATCGCTGTCTTGGATTGTCGGTAGATGACGTCACCAACATTAATAGTATAAACATGTAACATTTGGGGTTCCCTAATAATTTCAAATTTAATTTTATTAATTTTGTAAATTCATGATATGTTTAAAAATCTAAAACAGCACTAACCTCGTACCTGATGTTGCTTTAAAAACATAGTTTTATAGATTTTTTTCATAGTTCTAATTAAACATTAAAATATATAAAAAAGTATGAAAAGTCCAATCCAAGAAAATATTTCAATATGTATGTACATTGTGAAAAAAAAAATGTATTTTAAGTGTTTATAATGATTGCATAATCAATACAATAGTTTAATTCAATATTATATATTATAATTCAATTCAATAATGTTTCTTAAGCCAACCTTAACAGTAAACGAATTAACCATAATTATATTTCGGTTAACCATTCAATGCACAATTTTAACCTCGCCATGTCTATATAAACTATTTGTAAGTAACTAGGTATGTCGCATTACTAGAGACTAGTTGTAGTTTACAATTATTTAACAATGTTAACACGATTTATTGATTGTTTTGTCAGTTTTATTTGTTAATAAAATAGACAAAAGAAAATCAGAATTGAAATTACGTCCAGCTTCTAAAACCGTTAAAATCTCAGTGAACTAAATTTTATATACTACTCTGGATTTATAGCACCTTGATGTAAGTGTAGAATTTGAGGATAAGTGAAAAGTCGAAAAGGGGAAAAAATTTCAGACATCTTTTTAAGCACGTATGTCGAAATCAACCACGGGTCCACGAAGAAAATTATAAAAACGCATTTTATTTTTTGCGAAAATATTCCAGTTCCAACTTTAATACAATGATTCCATCAAGGACAACTTGATTCCGCCAATGTCAAAGTTGAATAAAACAGAGAATAAAGGCCCATTTACACGATGCCATTTTCTTGTACATACAAGAGCAATAATTGAATGAAATAAATTGCGCGCAATAATTTGTTAGACCATTTGTTGTTTAGACCATGCAACTCATTTATTGCTTCAATTTAATTGTGTAAAACAGACAAGAAACTTGCACCGTGTAAATGGGTCTTAAGTGGTAAGAATGACCAGTAAAATTAAATACTTTTGGACAGTAAGTAGACATAGAAGATTCAAGCTTAAAATATATGTAACTAAATACAGATAAAATAACATGACAGGAGGAGGAAGAAGGGAAAATAAAAGTCTACATTAATTCAGATGGAAAATTTGTACAGAACATTCAGGAGATTCAGTACGAATCAGAACGAATGGTATATGGACAGACCTGGGAGTTACAAGGAAGGATATCTTATATTGGAACTGAGATATTCAGTGTATTGTGACCATATATAATACAACATAAATATATAGAGTAGGTGAGTAATTTTCTTGTTTAAGTATAGTGTACGCAATATTAATGAAATAAGTGCTTTAAGTGGTCATAGCTGAGTCACTGTCTTTTTTTTTCACCTATGCTAAACCATAATAGCCCAACAAATAATCGCCAGAAAGACATGCAATAAACAAAAGGACAACCCCAATTGACATCAAGGACAACCCCATTCAAATATTTGATCATTTAAAAGCAACTTAAAATTATTTTGCATTACGTATTTCTACAACTATACGGTGGTCGAAACAGTTCGCACTCGTTTTAGTATCCAAAGCCGAGGTTCGCAAGCGTATCCTGCGACGCGCACTGAAAAGTACCTTCTACCTTCTCGGTAAATCTTTGCGCAACGTATATAAGACATGCGCGTTAAAAATCCACCGCAGTGTAAAGCCTGTCGGCCGTTAATAAGTTGGCTGTAAATTAAATATTCTTAAACTTATATTTTTTTTATCTGTCATTTGAACAACACAAAATGCGTGTACAGTTGCGTATCTTCGCTGCCCTTTCTCTAGCCACGTGTGTTTTGGCGGGAAACCTACGTAAGTTTTGTTAAACTTTTTAACTATGAGAGGTTGCGAGCTTAGACTGAAAAACAAATTAAAAAATTAAAATTTATTAATTTATTTTTTACTAGCTGTTAAACGCGGCTTCGCCCTCGCGGTCAAAGGCAATTAACAATGTGTTTTTTATTATACACTAGAATAGCTCGGAGATGGCAGAATTTTTTCCTACTTACTTGACACTTATTGTTATATTTTGGATAATTCACATATCTTTATTAATTATAGCTTATGTCTTATTCTGATGTATTAGCTATATTATTGTAAAGTTACATTAAAATCCATTCAGTAGTTTTTGTGTGAAAAAGTAACAAACATCCATACATACATACAAACTTTTGCGTTTATAATATTAGTAAGGTTTAAAATTTTATATTTATTTTAAAAGAATAAATTAAATTTTACAATTTATTTTTCAGGTATTTTTGATTACTTATTCCTAAAATATTTAAATCATCTTATAGATAATACGTATGTTACCGAAACATATTTAGAGTAAGAAATTTCAGGATATTTAAATTAAAATGAAGGAGTATTAAAATTCGTAAATATTAAATTGAGGTTAGGTATAATGGTCGTAGTGCTACTATATGAATCGTGCTACTATATGCCGATAATCTAATTCAAATTTTAATATATTTATTCTGTACAGAACAATCACATTAACTTATTGATTGTGAAAATTCTACTTCAACCGATTAGGAACTGAAAAGCAACTGATCTGAGAAGAACCGGCGAAAGAAACTCAGCGGTACATATTTTCTTACCATTTTTAATTTATTTCACTTATTAAGCCCATCGATTAATTTAAACCCAAAATGTATATTGTTTTTAATATTGTTTTTAACACAAAATAGGTGTGTTTATTCAAATATACGCTTGCGGGTTCTTTTGAAACGTCGAATTTTACATAGCAACTGATACATGAGTTCCAGTAAGTTACCATTTTTAATAATCAATAGAAATTTTGCCAAATTTCTATAAAATCTAATGAGTCACTGATATGTGAGACTTTAGAGATGCAAATGAAATCGTGATTATACATTAAGCAGAGGTTTAAACTTGAAATTTTATATCTTTAGTCACCAGTTTTAGTGATCATAGATTACACACGTACAGTTACACTGTCTTACACCAACGTAATTAATCTGCGGATATATTTTACAACTTGTTAATGTGAAAATAATAGTTCACCGTTGTCCTCGCTACATTACCAGTGCAAATACTCGAGTTACGCTGAACAAATAAGAAGAACAGAAAACACTTCCGTACGTACGCAAACATTTGATGTTCGATTTTTTATTATTATTTATATTTCAAAGGTCAACGTTTTGAACTTTGAAATATAAAAAAAAATTAACGGTGTAACCACAGATTAAAAATGTATACCTACACTATAAATTCCTTGCAGAAAAAAGTAACTTATTTTATGGTCACAAATTACCACTGTATCTCTGTATACATATATCATAGCTTCGTGGTATTATTATAATTACTACCCAGGATGAGCCTGACATAAAAATACAGTTACGGTAAAATGCTCAAAGGCTATATATATATATATAATCATTAGTATCAAACTTAAAGACCATCAAAGATATTAAATTCGAATAATATTTTACTTTAAACTACCGATGCTGGCTGTTACCTAAATTAAAGTAGGTAACCGCCAGTGTAGTAAACAAAGGTTAATAAGTGCAAACTGTGAAGTTTATATATATCTTCGAAATCTTTTTTTTTTGTTACTATTTTGACAATATTTAGTTCCTTCACTAAGTTTTCCTTCACTGTTGTGGGACTTAAAATTGCAATTAACAATTTCATCGGTACCGGCACAGAGACTTGAAGTCTTGTTTCTCGAGTACATTGGATTAAAGCGAAACCACTGAGCCGGACAAAACAAAAATGCAATTTAACTTTTCTGCGAACTACGTACAAGAATACCGGTGTTAGGCAATTCTTTTTAGATGGAACGTTAGTTCAGTTATGTACATAAATATGGCAAAGCGGCTTTTCTCAAGGTTAAGGCTTCCCATCTTATGCAGAAGTTTTAGTTAAGGGTTTCGGCGAACGAACCAATTTTTTATCTTATATTTGCCAAACTTTGTTTCGGGTTTGAATGAATGGGTTTGTTTTATGAAAACGAAAACATTTTGCTTTCCTAAAAGAATATTTATATTCTTTGTTTTTATTTACCGAACGCATTAAAATATACGCAGTTTATACGTTACATAACAAATACAGACTTACCAAAAATATCAAGTTAGCAAGTTTCATTTTCTTGAAGAATGTAATGTGCCCGTCCGGATGTAGTCTTTTTTTTTGGGTCAACAGCAGTCCGGCAAGAGGCCTAAGGCAAACATCCGCGTGTGGTCATCCTTTTCAGACGTTTGGTTAAGTGGGAAAATATTTGCATTTGGTCGAGTTTGCTCTGTCAACGTAACTCGATATTAAACTTGCTTGCGTAGGGCCATAGGCAAAATAAAGGGTCGTTATAAAGATTACAAAGTGATGAACTACGTGTCGGAGTAGAAGACCGGTATTATAATTCTCTGTTTATTTAGAAAGGACTGGCGTAATAATAATATTATTATATTTGCGAGTGCACCTTATGCCTAACCTATATGTATCATCTTCAGTGAGGTCGAGGTATAATCTCCGGAGAATAACAGAATGTGGTGCTTGGAAGCTAATTAGATAATCTGTCAAAAGTACGATAGCAGTACATATTATTTTCTTTTTTCACATAATCAAGAAATAGACGAAATTTTATGATGAGTCCTTCGCCCAGAAGTAGGGGCTTATAATGGACTTAACGTTTCAAAAATTTTAAACGTAATGTGTTTCGAACGTTACCTTAATTTCTGTCAATGCTGCATTAGATCCTTAGGGTAAAATTCATCAAAGAACCTTCCTAAATTCTATTTGATTTTTCATGTATTTTCTGGTGTTCAATAGTTGCCATTCTTTTCGTTAGTAAATATCACAGTATAATAAATTATATCAGTAGTACGTAAGGGCTTGGCTTTTGCCATAATGTTTTAGTTGTGAAAAGTATCCTTTTTTATGCGAATTACAATGTTATAGTTAGTTATAGTTTTTTAAATTAGCTCTCGTGTTGTTACCATTTAAATAACATTTTTATTAGGGAGAAATTATTGGAGAATTGCAAGAAAATTTTGTAGACTGGATTTCCTCCAGTAAATAGCTTTGGCAGCACTGAAGCACATCAAAAATAACGATTTCATGAACGGAAATTTAATGCTCAATTTTTATTTTATAATTCCTCTGTACATGTGTATGTCACTGAACTCCTCCTTAACGGCTAGACCGATTTTAATAAAACTTTTTGGGTGTCTTCAGGTGCATTTGAGAATGGTTTAGATTCACAAACTCATTTAAAAAGATTGATTTATTATACTGTGATATTTACTACCGAAAAGAATGGCAACTATTGAACACCAGAAAATACATGAAAAATCAAACAGAATTTAGTAAGGTTCTTTGATGAATTTTACCCTAAGGATCTAATGCAACATTGACAGAAATTAAGGTAACGTTCGAAACACATTACGTTTAAAATTTTTGAAACGTTAAGTCCATTATAAGCCCATAATTCTGGGCGAAGGACTCATAAAATTTCGTCTATATCTTGATTATGTTAATTAAAACCTATTAATCTCTATAATAACAGGTTAACTGCTATTAACACTAGAAACGTAAGGAAAATCGGTCTCACGACTATAATCAAGGTATGTGTCTTTATGAACGCACTCATTAACATCAATTGGAAAAAGGTTGAAAACTAAACTTTGCGTACCTATGTGTATATTTGTACAAATTCCCCTATATCAAGTTGAGTTCCTCCGCGCACAGAAAAACAAAAAACGCTTTACTATATCAGCAGTCAAAATATATTTAAAAAGTTCGGTCTTAGCGTAAATTAGTCTGTGGAAAAAGCATTTAAATCATCTGTTGGGGAAAAATGAAATGACTTTCCAAACGATCTGTAAGTAATTCGTATTTGTTTCAATTTATGGGTATGAACAAATCATTTTTCTTCTTTCTAAGTGCTCAGCTATACTAGAATGTATGATTACACATAATTCTATTATTACCTATCTATTCGATTATTACGAGGTTAAATTTCCCGGCAACACGTCGATCGAAACATCCAGACACGACCATTAGGCAAGAAAATTTGACAACGTAGTTATCAGGTTCACGTTCTAAATATAAATATTAGTCAGAAAAACAAACTAAAACAATAAAATTACGACTGAGAGCGGCGGACATTTATTTTCAATAAATAAGGAACCGATTTATGTAAGGCCGTAATTTGTTTACGTTGTGAACAACATATTATAAGCGTTCTCATCTCTGACGAAATAAAAAAAACCGGCGAAGAGCGAGTCGGAGTCGTGCACGAGGGGTTCCGTACTATTACCTATAAAATGGCAAAAAATCATGTCTGTGGTATGGGAGCCCCACTTAAATATTTTTTTATTCTGTTTTTTTGTATTTCATGCCATAGCGGCAAAAGAAATACATCGTCTGTTAAAATTTTAACTGTCACGGTTCATGCGATACAGCCCGGTGACAGGCGGACAGACAGACACCGGAGTCTTAGTAATAGTGTCCCGTTTTACCCTTTGGTGGCAAGAAAGCTGGCAGTTCGGTGGTAAGTGATAAAGTTTAGTATAATAACACTTCCACTTCACGCCGTTCTTTTATTAGGTCGTGTTACTTACCCGGACGGACATGCCCATTCGTGCAACAGCGAAGACTGCTGCGTGGCAAATTCTCACTGCTGCAACGCATAATTGTATATGTTGTAATATGTTGTAAACGGTTGAACAAAATAAAGGTTGCCGCCAAACACTACACGGAATGGGTTTCGAGATAAAAAAATATGAAAGAATTAAGTATGAACTTCGACCACCACCATCCGATGGTTAATAAGATTTCCAATCTCTTTTAAAAACCACAACGTACCTTATCAAAACAACTCAGAGGCAAGTTCTCAATACACGAGAATTTCAACAGTTGGGTAACATAATCCAAATGACTGCCTTTAAAACGTTGCAACACATCGAAGACTTGATACAATCGAAAATGCTCTCTTTCGAATATTCGCAACAAAAAGGTCAACAACATATTCTGTAACATATTACATAGAAATCTTCTGATCTTTCATTATAGTGTTGACGACTTAAATCTTCATAAAGCCTAATCTCTTAGATAATAGCGACAAGAAATCTTGTTGTTCATACAACAAGTCGCATGTGTCACCCTAAAATGGTAGATACAGTAAGATTTACAATTTCTCATCAGACATATTTACATTCCAATTCTGATAAATATGCTGCTGAGATTTATATAAGCCACATCAAAACCTGAGCTTCGTCATAACCATTTGTCACAATTTCACTTTCCATCCACTATTTTTAAATACTCATCGTCCCCTCTTAAACTATACATAGGTTATATATCTTTCTTTTTTTTCTGTGCGTGTGTATGTCACTGAACTCCTCCTAAATGGCTAGACCGATTTTAATGAAATTTTTATGTGTCTTCATTTGGATTCAAAAATGGTTTAGATTTTTATCGGTTTTATTTATATGTTGTTGTCGGATTAAGACGTATGTATTGAACGTCTGTTGGGTCCGCTAGTCTTATATATTTTAAACTTAAGACACGAAAATAAAATGCTGGTTGAGGTTATAAAGTACCAATTATAAGGTATTGTCTGATTAAAATATTAAACCCTTGACCAGTAGGTCAATATGTCATTTGGACTGTTCAAATCCTTGAAGATGAGAAGATAAAGAAATAAGATCAGTATTTATTCATTATTCCTCGGTGAAATCTTAAATGTATCGTTTCCTAAACTATAATATCAAAAGATTTAACTGAATAAAATACTAGGGTCTCATGACTATATATAGAATCGATTTGGAAAACACAATGTACGGTCCGCAACGTCCTGAGTTGCGCAGCGGTTGTAATCGACGATCGAAACGGCCATCGAAGTTTACCAAGCGCTATCGCGGAAGACGAATGTTGTGAAAGTTGCCAGATAAAATAATAACATTTGTCAATATGGGTATAGATAACTTCGTCGCTTTCTTTTAGCATTATGAAAGCGAGCGACAGTAACATTCGTGCAGGATTTCATCTCTTTTGTGTTTTATCTGTTTCTTTGATTGTAAACGTTAGAAGTATTCACCATAATTTGCGCTATTTTAGTGCAATGATGTTTGCGCTTCTGTGTCTGAGCTGAGCTTGATGTCTGAGCTGAGATGTCTGAGCTTTAACTTATGAATGAGCACCGCGCCCATCGACGTACACCATAAGAATATCGCATTCTTCACCAACCGAATTGGCTTTACCATTATTTGAATCGAAATATTACCATTTCTATTAATAAAATTAAAACATAATTAGAACCAACAATATTTTGTTGAGTTTATATAAATAACGTGGATAATTGCAATTGGAGATATTTTTAAAATTGAAACAGATTATAAAAACCATTTTGGCGCGCTTTTCTTTAAATTTAGTTTTCTTTTTTTTTCTTCGTAGAGTTCGTGCCTAACTCGATTGTTAGGAAACGTCTAACAAAAGACGAACATCATGTATTACCTTATTGATCCCTTGACCTCATTTGATAGTCTCATAAGTTGCCATGAACAGACTCATGTAATACAAAGATTGCTCTTTTATGTAATACAAAGTCGCATTTGCATTTTCAAGTTCAACTAGTGAAGGTCGCGTCATAAAATTACCTCTAATCGAGGAATTTATTTATTTTATGAGTACATTCAAAACATAAGTATAATATGACTTTAATTTAAAACTTAATTAACATCGCGCTGGCGATCTGATTTTCAATAGAGGTTTGAATTTCTGTTTTTTTTTAATTGTCTTTTTTTTTATGATTTTTAACGTTCAATTTGATTTTAAAATAACGTATTTCCTACGTATTACCAAGCTTTTGCAACGTACCTATTTAATTGATTACTATTGAATTAAAAAATGAAATTGTAAATTTCATATAGAAATCCCGCTATTTTTGAAAAAAAATAAACAACCTTCTTTGTCAAAAAAATACCCAAGCACCCAAGTTGTATGACTGCCATCGTTGTAAAAATATAGATTGACTTGAGAACTTGCGTGTATACCTACGTAAAGAGCAAATAATGACCAAATCTAAACCTTCCACAGCGTCATTCATCCAGCCGTGCTCAATCTCGGACCCAAATCTGAACCAATGCGTGGAGAAAGCGATAGAGGCGGCCGGCCCGAAGTTCGCCGACGGGATCCCAGAGCTGGGCATCAGGCCGCTGGACCCCGTGGAGCTGGGCACCGTGCTGGTAGACAACCCCGCGCTGAAACTCACCTTCACCGACACCGTGGTGACGGGACTGCGCGACTTCAGGGTCAACTCGTACAAGTAAGAAATGTAACGATGCACCTACATTACTGGTAGGGGCGTCTTTACGTTTTTGGCCTAAGGCTTCGAGTGAACAGCGATAGAGCGCAATGGACACAGTCTGCCTGCTTAATATAATAAACTGTACCTACGTGTATCGGACTAAAAAAAAAATAATGAAAAATTAGACGGCGGCTGGGTTTGGTATGGCATTAGAACATGAAAAGCTAATGAAAAGTAACTGTATTTAAATTAAAAAAAAATAAACGCGATAAAATGCCTCAACAGTGTAATTCAATTATTAATCTGAATATTTCTATTCTAAATTTAATTTAAATCTTTCGCTGCGCAAATAATGAATATGGTATATTATTTTTTATCACACACATGACAACGTTAAAGCCATATTTATTGTTTTCACTACACCAAAGATGTCAACGCACTTTATCCATGTTATTCTGTCCCGAACGGTTACAACATGCCTCAGATCAAGAAAGAAGAAAGAAAGATACGTTTTATTTGTTAGAACATGGAGCAATAGGTCTTACATTTGTATCGTCCTTTATGTTCTACTATTTCTGGTGTACAAATATTACATTTTACATTAAATACACGCAAAGAAATACAAAACAAAAGAAAACATAATGTTCCTTACATGTGTACATGTTAAACATAATGTTCCTTAAGTGTTTTTTATAAATTTTTATCATTTAAATAATACCCTGTGGAATAGTAGCATTTACTTATTAGAAAGTAAATAACAAACAGATTTCGCATTAATATTTTGAAATTTACAGTTTTTAATCTATTCGGTAATTTATTGTACACCCTAATTTAACATTGAACAACAAAAAAACATTGTGAATCTCCATGTTTGACGAGTATCATGTCGAGATACTCGTCAAATATGGAGAGGTCATAGATGGAAAAAAGTAAAAGTATTTCATACACAAACTGCTGCTTAGGATTAACACGGAGAAGGGCAAGGCCTCGCTGGACTTCACGGCTAACGTGACCTTGAAGGCGAACTACGACATGGACGGCCAGGTGCTCATCCTGCCCATCAGGGGCAACGGACAGGCGAAGATTAAAATAAGTCAGTGGTCTACATTTCTGAAAGCATTTATGAACTTAGTACAGGCGATCAATCCGATTAATATTCAGATTCCGCTGATTACCCTAACATTTGCTCGGAAAACCTTAACGCCCGGTTTCTGAAACACTGATCAACTAAAATGAAATTTGAAAAGCCATTTGATAGCTGATTAGTTGACATCTACGATGATAAGTGTTTCAGGATCCGGGCGTAAAAGTGATTAATGTGACAGACTATATATATATCCCATTGCCGGGAAAAGGCTACACGCACTCCACTGGGATTGGAAGACTTCATATATGTTCGAAATATATTTTTTATTATTTCGAAAATAATAAATAGGTTTCTTCAAGATGTGCCCCTCCATCGCTGATCACGTGATATGTCAGCACTTAAAGTTAAAAATTTCACCAGGGTTTGAACTCGGGTCGCTCGAGTATATTGAATTAAGAACGAGTGCCTGCACACAGCTATCACAGTGGTCAGGGCATGTGTGAGTCCCGGTCGGAAATCTCTGTCGCATCGGCCGGGAACACGGGAACGATCCCGGCGGGCCTAAGGCCTTCTTGGGCCTCTTCTCAGATCAAAAGGTTCTGTGCCGGTGCAAGTAGCACAGATCCCGGGTGCTCTGCAATTGGAGTTGCATGATCTGATCTCCCCCGCCCCTTTCCATCATCCGACAACTAGGCTTTCGGCGGGGCTCCACCCTTATGCTATTGACGTTCCACGCACAGAAACAAAGCGATTCGCTTCTTCATTCATCATCCGTACAGCTAAGGAATGGAACAACCTGCCGGCGTCTCTCTTTCCGTCCGATCAACGTAGGCGTCTTCAAGACAACAGTGAATAGTTTTTACTGAGCTAGCGCGCTTACCATAAAAGGCTGCATCACCACTTACCATCAAGTGGGACGGCAGACAAGTGCTGGCCAGTTTTGTATTAAAAAAAAACCCTCCATGAATGCGAGGCCATATCCGAGTCCAGGTCAAGCGTGTCGAATCCGACCGTGATATGAGCCCTGCGTTCGATGCAGCTTTTAGTACGCCGAAAGACGTCGTTCGATAAAGATGAAGTTATTCTACGGGGCAGCGTAGGTCTGCCACATGTGGAACTTGCTCTGCGTTACAGCTAACCTGAACATCGTGATCAAATACGACTACGAGACGAAGGAGGGTCACTGGGTGGTGACCGGATATAAGGACAGCTACAAGATGGAGCGCGCACACTTCAAGTTCACCAACCTGTTCGGCGGGAACAAGGAGCTGGGTAAGAACCTTGCATTAGCTTTGGCTAGTATCCGACTTAAAGTAACAGCCTATACATGTCCCACTGCTGGGCAAAACGCCTCCTCTATACAGACGGTATCACGGCATAGTCCACCACGCGGCCCCGCTTCGAATTGGCGGACTTCAAATATCTTCAAAATATATTTTTTTGTTTTTATTTCAAAGATTATGCGGGTTTCCTCACAATGTTTTCCTTCACAGTAGAGCACGTTGACGTCTTCACTTAAAATCAACAATTTTATTGGTTTCGCCATCGGGGATCGAACTCAGGTTGCTCAAGTACTCGTATATTATTATAGTATTATCTGTATCTGTTTCAATATAGTATCTTATTTATAGAATCTTACTTAGCTTAGATGATTATTTAGAGGTTAAACATTATTCATTATTTAAACTGCTAGAAGTTTAGTTTCAATAGCAAAGACGATTTCTCCAATTTTCAAGTATTCTTTGTAAAAATGTCTTTTGAGAAAGTGTTTGCTTAGGAAGCAGATTAGTAGGCATTGTAGGTAAATGTAATAAAAACAAAGTAGATAAGAGTGCGGTTTTCGAGCGGCGAGGATATGCTAGATGAAAGTTTTGACTGTCTAAGTATCACGATTAATGAGGTACAGCTTAGTGACAGACGGACAGGCAGACAGACAGTCAACGGAGTCGCAGTAATACGGTCCCGTTTTACACTTTGGGTACGGAACCCTAAAAAGTATCTCTTAGAGTTATTTATCCAGAAATTAACTTGTGATTTCTGATAACACGCTCAGAACATTAAAGTTACACTACAAAACCCTAATTGACACGAAGCTGTTTTCAGCTGACACCACGCATAGGTTCGTAAACGAGAATTGGGGAATAATAATGCAAGAAATCGCTCCGCCCGCACTAGAGGAAATCATTAAGAAGTGCATTGAGGAAGTGAAGAAGTTATTCGCAGGCGTGCCTGTTGCTGAGCTTCTTCTCCAATAAACGGTTGGCAACTGTTCAAAAGTGTCATCTACTTTTCGATTCTTTCACTTATCTTTCATCTACTTGGGAATATTTTTCACACATATGACATTCTCTTGGACATTGCGCCTATCGTCTTGGTTTAATTTGACATTATTGTTTCACTTCCCGCGCTTTTTTGTATTCCATTAATTTTTTCCTAACGGAAAACATCATGCAATCTAAAAATCATTCTCTGTTTTGTTCTTTAGTTCACTCATTCGATCCGTAAATGCCCTTCCTTTGTCCTAAACATTTCTTAATAATAATTACTACTAGATATTAATATATCGATATGCTAATTTTAGCTCTTTTTATTTCAACATTTAATTCATTAGATAAATAAGAAAATATCCATATGGGCTTTTTATTATTTTGTTATTAATAGGTATATGGAAGTAGTTAAAGCATATTCTTCAATGATAGTTCAATTATAATATTATTGATCTACTTATTAATTTTACGAGATACTTAACACTTTTTGTTTATAGTGCTAATTTATCATTGCGCTTTACATTTATTTTAAATAGTACTAACCTTTATCTATGTTTTGTTTATTTTTAATACTCAAGTTTAAACTGAGGGGCTATCAGAATTGACTTGTAGCATCGCATTAATTATTCATATCGTTTTATATACAATGAAATTCTCTATACTCAATATGTCGAGTAAATGTGGTTACCATACATTTTCTCAACTGTCATAATTTCTGACATGAGCCAAGCATCATTTGGATTCACAGTTCACACGTGCTCTTCAACTTCGGTGAATGAACTATTCGAATACTTCATAAGGAATAAAAATTTAACTCGATTCGCGTTCCAGCGAGCACAATCGGCAACGTGCTCAACGCGAACTGGGAGCCCGTGATACGTGACATAGCGCCCGTCGCGTTCGACCACATAATAGCGGCCTGCGTCAACGAGGCGAAGAAACTCTTCGCCGCCGTTCCCGCCGACCAGCTGCTCCTGCCGTAGACCGACGAACATGTTTGTTTACCGCGCAATCGACGCGCGAGTTTTGCAACGACAGATTGGTGCAACGATGCACTCTGTTGCAAACCCAAGGGCGGCTGCAGTCCAATACTCGCCTCGTGTGTTACTCAAATGATCCGAATTCGTTGATTTCACAAGCGAAATGATTGTGACCGCTCGCGGCGAAAGTTTATTACGCGCAAACTGACGTCTTCCAGAAGGTCGCTTATGTCTAATTTGTCCTTGGTTTCGTATGTGAATTTTTAATTTGTAACAACATAAGTAGTCTCATTAATAATTACCCAAACAAGTTGTGTACATAATTTGTCCTTTAATATTTTTATGTCCGCCATTATGAAACTGTCTGTATTGCCATTTTGCAATTGTATTTGAGGTCAGTAAACGGTAATACCTGTTTTTTCCACTCAAAGTATTAGTTGCCTGTATAGGATTTTACAAAAATCTTTTTTTTTTTAGGTATTTCTAGAAAATATCATTTATCAATTAAACAGATATTTCTTATACGAGATGTGAAATGAATTTCTAGTTCTTAAGGTATTAAGGTAAAAGTCATACCTTAGTATGGCAGTTTTTGATTTATTAAATCTTATAGAAGTAATCTTCTATAGGGGATTCATATTAGTCATGATTGGGTATAAGGGTTACCACTGAAAATATATTTCAGATTTTTGTGATAATTGTAATAAGTATTGTAATTTGAAGAACAAATATAATTTTAAGAATAAATGTTATTTTTCTTTAACCAAAATAATTATTAAAATAACAATAACAAAAAATGATTTATTAATCCTTCAGTATATAAAAAAATATAACAACATATAAATGCCTGATCAAAAGTTACCATTCTTATTTATTCTTAAAACCTAATAAGCACATAAAAATTATTTTGTTAAAGGCACTTTAGCTGACTGGATTGAAAATTAAAATGTATGAGTTAGATGTTAACGGGGACACATAGCGTGACGGCCACCATCTACTGGCAAGCTAGCACCGGTTATATTGGATGCCAATTCACTTGCCAAAAAGGCAATGGCAGCTGCAACTTCTTCAGGCTTCCCGGGACGTCCTAAGGCGTGCGTTTCTTTAGTGCGCTCGAGGAACGCCGCGTACTGCTCTTCATTCAATCCACCTCGCTTCTGCAACTCTGTTAAAATAACTCCCGGGTTAACACAGTTCACCCGAACACCTTTAGGTGCCAATTCTAGCGCAACGCATCGCGTGAATTGATCCACGGAGGCTTTAGATATGTTATATGCCAGAACGCCCGGGAACGACCTTATTCCATTTACGCTGGAGACATTGACAATGTTCCCTTTAGTTTTGAGAAGGTGTGGTACAGCCAACATGGTGAGATAATATATTGAACGTACATTTGTGTTCATAAGGCGATCGTACTGCGCCAAAGTAGTAGTTTCAATCGTGCCAGTTTCAATTATACCGGCATTGTTAATCAACACATCGATTTGTCCATAGTGATCGACGGTACTCTTCACGATTTTCTCAATATCGCTCTCTTTATTTAAATCCGCGGGCACCAATAAAGTTGATGTAGATTTCTCACAATCAGTGTTCACCTTTTTGAGGTTCTCGACGTTTCTACCGGTCAACGAGAGCTTTGCGCCGAGCCTTGACAAAAATACAGCGGTTGCGGCGCCAATCCCAGAGCTTGCGCCGGTAACAATCACTACTTTTCCAGCGAAGTTCATATTGGATACAGTCACGCTTGACGAGGGCCCAAAAAACTAAAAATAAAACTGATGAACACCTTATCAATACTAAAGGAGATAAGGAAATTAACCAAGAGAGAAATATGATATATCAAAAGTAGTTTGTTTTAGTAATTTGGTCTTAATTGTAAAGTAAAAGCATAGAATTTAAATATCAAATCAACATTGACAAATAACGAGGACCCGTTTTTCTTTATAACCAATGAAAATGAAGTAATTTTATTAATTAAAAACAACTAATATTGCTGTCAAGTCAAACTGTTTATTTTGTTTTTGACAGTTCATTCTTGTGTTACAAACGCTCGAGAATATTTGCTTAAGTCTACCACCCACCAAACAAAATAAAAATTATTAATAAAATTGTAAGTTATAAAAAGAGCCCAGATTTTTGCCTGATTTCCAAATGCACGGTATAAATAAATTCTAGAATATTGCAGCAAATATATTGGTCTTATAAAAAGTGTTTAAAGAAAAGTTGTTGGGAATTTAATTTTATAAAAAATTGTCTCTTTTACTAATATTTTTTTTATTGTTACCTTTATTCCGAAAATGAGATTCATAATGATAAGAATTTTTAATTACTTTTGGCGCTTTCTTTAAAATTAATCCTATGCTACCACTATTGAATGCGTTTTGACGGACACTTTTTAATACACAGAGATTGTTCTCTTTATATCTACTCTCCATATTTCAACTCTGCATGCTTAGTAATGAGAAACCGTACTAGATATCGGTAAGCCACTAGGTCAGCAAATAAATATGATTGGGTATATTGCGTTACTTCAAAGCCATATATAGAACGTGAAAAAATTCCAAAAAACATAACGCCCCATAAAAAATCCCAACATTTGTTAACCCCCTAAGTTTGGGGGGAAAACCCTTATGCTGGCAACCTTGTCATTATTATTGCGTTTCACTGTTGCTTTCAGATTTTACCATGCAGAAAATTTGTCAACGGTTATACCGCCATTTTTCTCAAGTTACTTCATGAGCTATAAATTCATTTATATAAGACATAAAAATGTCAAGCAAAAATGTTTAAATAAGCCACATAGATATGAGTTCTCTAAGTATGTATTTTTACATGACAGAAAACGTCTTCACTTACTAAAGTCATTTCATTGAAACCATCAAAGCACTACAATGTAACACATAAATATTTTCAAAATTTTAGTTATTACGTACAAATTATGGCTAAAGTTAGTTACAGAACTTCTCTAAAGCAAAATAGTAAGTTGAAATTCAAGAAATAATTCATAGAACAACGATTTAAAATTACAGAAAGAAGTAATTCATATCCACATAGGCCAAGCAGGTGTCCAAGTAGCAAATGCTTGCTGGGAATTATATTGCCTTGAACATGGCGTTAATCCCGATGGTGTCTTGGCCTTTACAAATAATCAAGCAAGCTACGGAGCAATATTTAGTGAAACTGGTGCCGGTAAAATTATACCTAGAGTCGTTATGATAGATTTAGAACCTACGCCCATTGGTAAGCTGATCGATAAATTCCTATTATTGGTTTGTGTATATAATGTTACATACATACGCACGTAGATGTGATACGTAGGTATACCTTACTATCATTTTAGATGAAATTAGAAATGGAACCTATAGACAGCTGTTTTCCCCAACATCACTACTTACTGGTAAAGAGGACGCCGCTAGCAATTTTGCACGTGGATACTTTAGTATCGGTCGAGAAATGATCGATGTGGCACTCAATCGTATTCGGATAGTGGCCGAGGACTGCAATTCACTTCAGGGTTTTCTAATATTTCGATCGTTCGGTGGAGGAACTGGCTCAGGGTTCACTGCCCTTTTATTAGAAGGACTTACACGAGATTATGGAAAATTAACCAAAATTGAATTTGCTGTATATCCGGCTCCGAAAATATCGCCGATAATTGTAGAGCCATATAACGCTGTTATAACAACGCACGCATGTATGGACACAGAAGACGTATGTTTCATTTTTGACAACGAGGCTATGTACGACATTTTGGCCAGATCTCTCGATGTGCCAAGGCCCACATACACAAATTTGAATCGGCTTATTGCTCAGGTAGAAATTAAAAGCAAAAGTATTTGAGGTATTTCCAACTCTGTAAAATATAACTGTACATCTTTCAGGTAGTATCGTGCATGACAGCTTCCATGAGATTTGAGGGATCACTTAATGTGGAATTAATGGAATTTCGTACAAATCTTATACCATATCCCCGAATACACTTTCCACTTGTTACATTTGCACCTTTCGTGCCAGCGTCCCGAGCTATGCACGAAATGATGTCAACTCACCAAATGATTATGTCGTGTTTCGAACCGTCAAATCAAATGGTTAAATGCGATCCAAGACAAGGAAATTATATGTCTTGCTGTCTTCTTTTTAGAGGAGATATAAACCAAAACGACATTAACACGGCCATAAATCAAATAAAAAATTTAAAAACGATAAAATTTGTTACATGGTCACCCACAGGATTTAAGGTAATTAATTACATTTTCCTTCAATTCAGTAACATGAACTAATTAATTACTTAGTCATTAATTCTTACCAGCCATCACTTAAACGGAAGCTGGTTTAAAAAGCGATACCCATGGCTTCTCTTTATCATATCTATATTTGATATATCGTTTGCATGGAATTCGCTTTTCAGACATTTTTTAAAACCACATTTATGCCTTCCAGATTGGCATAAATTACCAGCCACCAATAACGGTGCCGGGGGGCGATTTAGCAGCATTACAAAGGGCCGTGGTGATGGTGTCCAACTCTTCTTCAATTCGTGTCGCTTGGGAACGGTTATGCCGAAAATATTATTTGATGTACGCGAAACGAGCATTTGTCCACCATTACGTTGGGGAAGGCATGGATGAAGGGGAATTCACTAACGCTTTGAAAAACGTGAAAGCATTATCAAACGATTATAAAGAAATAGAAACATGAATAAGAAATACCGGTTTTTTGTGTTTCCTTGCTAAGACATGTAATTTTTAAGGTTCCGTACCTAAAGGGTAAAACGGGACCCTATTACTAAGACTTCGCTGACTGTCTGTCTGTCCATCTTTCACCAGGCTGTATCTCATGAACCGTGATAGTTAAACAGTTGAAATTTTCACTGCTGTTTGCCGTTGTAACAACAAATAATAGATAACAGAATTAAAAAAAAATATTTGAGTGCGGCTCCCATACAACAGACTTTTTTGCCGTTTTTATAGATAATGGTCGAAACCCTTCGTGTGCGAGTCCGAGTCGCACTTAGCCGGTTTTTTTTATCCTAGAACATGCTGCGCTATTAAACAAAAGTACCTATAAAGAAAAAAAAAAATTAAAATATTGAAATTTATTGATATCGATAACACTTTGATGATAGATTTAAGTAAACAAGTTATAGCCAAAAAATTGACATCAGAACCTTATTTATAATTTTAATGTAAACAATCATCTTCATCTTTTGGATGCTTATTTTAATTGTTTTAATAGAAGTTATTTTAATTTGAATAGAGTTTTGTAAAAAAAGCGGATAAACTGGCAGAATGAATTGCATGTCATCTCAATCAAGCATGATTTGTTCGTATTATTATGTGGAAAATAATTTGATAATAACAAGAAAGCCATATTTTTACTATTTAATAAATTCATTATTTCACAACAAATTTGAACGCTCTATACAGAGAAAAAACGTGTTGTATCTCATTTACCATAAAATATCGATGAATTCTACTCAAGTATGAACACAACCCTAACAACTAACTAAAAATACAAACTTTGTATGAAGTAGTGATAGGCAATTTTTTTAACAGCAAGACCTACGGACGATTGTGAGTGCATATTACGTTCATGCATACGTAGAGATGCTAACGCATATCTAGTCGAGTGGCCTGTGGCGGTACTCTCTTGATATTTTTCTTGTAAGAGTTTAAAACGAAAAATGTCACAAATACATTGTACGCTATTCATAACAGAAGTCTTAATGTCTACACGTTAAAGTGTATTTTTACTTAACTTTTTTCATTTAATAGCAATTAACATTTAAGTTTAAATATTTTGAATAGTTTATTCCAATAGCAGCAAAGATACACTTGTTATTCAAAATATGACACAGGCATTACTTATGTGGGTTTGTGAGATACACTTCCACTGTTTAGTGTTTTCTCTATTCCGTGGTATCCCCATCCCATAGACAGTACCCTTTATAATTGAGAAAAACATAAAAATAAAACCTGGCAATACCTATACCTAATGTGAAGTTTGTGGTTCGCTCGAATTATTTTGACTTTTGATTTTGAATTGAAGTTTAATTATTATCAGAGGAATGTTATCAGTACAAAATGTCTAAACATTAAATATTCATGTTTTACTATTTATTGAAGGCTATTAAAATCATTCTGAAATAATAAACCTTAATAATAAAAAAGTCATTGACTTTGATATAATTATATCTGTAAGGTTAGTATATATTTTTGTTTCAATTAATAATGTTATTTAATTTATCGGTGGTTATTTCTGAGCTAAGTGGATATTTTTGCGATAAGAATCAAACAAAAAGCTCAAAAAATATGAAGAGTTTGTTTTCACGCAATCATACGGTTACGATTATTGTGGTACATGTAATATTAACTGAATTATAATTTTCAGCTGTACAGTCAGAAATCAGCCATGTGGAGCATAACGCAGATATGTCGATGTTCGTACCCAATTCGATCGATGCAAAATAAAATATTACATAATGTCGGACCTCGGTTAAATAGCAGGGCGCTCATTGCTCCTGCTCGGTACAGTCGTATTGGTTTAAAAAATACGAAAAGCCTAAGAGTAAGTTTTTTTTTTCTATCAAAAGTACCCATAACACCATATATAACTTTTTAAATCATTAATGTTTATATTTAATATTTAAATCATTGTTTCATAATATTTTGCAATTTCTTATGAATAAATTAATTAACTTTCACTGAGTTTGAAGTAATTAGGAAACTTTTAAATTTGCTTTTATATATTTAGATATTCAGTTGTGTGTCTCTTAATCTAATGATTTCCTTTAGACACCGAGTGTGTGGCCCATTATGTGTACATTGCTATAATGCTATCAAAGCAGAAAGCAAAAGTGCACTAGATATCTACATGTGATAGTCAAAGTGGCAAAATTATGAAAATTGTGTAAAATGAGTGGCTTATGCCATATAATGTGCCATATAATAATATTATGCGTATTTTTGGATTGTTGGAAAGTTTTAGCTTTTGAGTTACCAGAAAATATTAATTCTTATACAAAAAGGTTATTTGCAATGCTTATGTTTCATGTGTAATATTTGTAAGTAGTTCCTTGCTATTAGACAGAATTGGACATGTAATACAATATTTTTTAACATATTTTATTCGACAATATTTGACCTAAATTGTTAGACTACCTATTTTCAATACTTTGCAGATTGAGAATTGGTTGATGTGATCAACGGATGATTATCCGTGTAAAACACTGACACTTCAAAATTAATAAATATTTGTTGAAAGTAAAAAATACAGCTCAAACTAAGATTTTAAATTTATAACAAAACTTAGTTTAATTTTGTTAAATTCCAGATAAGTGAAGTTCTCAAATCATATGGCATTGTTGCACGATTCTCTTCAAATGGTGTAAATCCAAAGTCATCAAAAGCAGTGGGCTATTGGTTACTTGGCTGTAGTGGAATGGTGTTCACAGCCGTTGTGTTAGGTATGGTAGCTGGCTATGTCACCCTGCTTTACTGCATTTACTATGTCATTAATGTTATTTTGAGAACCACAAATGGGAGCAAATGAATTGCTTTATCTAGAGCAGTGATTCTCAACCTTTTTCTTGTTGCGGCACATATTTAAAGATTTCAAAATTTGGTGGCACACAAAGAAAAAGAAAAAAAATATTTACTTCAACACACTGCATAAATAGTTTATGACAAAATTTTTAATATATACTACAATAATAACTAAACGTTTATTAAGGGAATAATTACAAGCTAATAATAAAAATATTTTTAATGCGAAATTTGAGCTTGATGTTTTTTGATAATTTCATTTATATTTGGTCGTAAAAATGACAATGCTACTCTCATATCGTCTTCTACATTTAACAATCTTGATCTTTTTTTAGTTTTAATGTTCGCTATTGCCAAAAAATATTTTTCTTTTTAAATGATATAATTTAATAATATTAACATTATTGTATATTTGCAAAATTTGGCGGCACACTTTTGAAATTTGGCGGCACACAAAAGTGCCGCGGCACAGTGGTTGAGAATCACTGATCTAGAGGACAAGGATTCTTATAATAAGTGGTTTATAAGTGAATATATTAAATTACCATAACTTTAAGAATATGTTCTAACACCATAAAGGAGTAGACAATTCTGTAAAACATGAGTCAAATAAGTCCCGTGGTTTGAAGATAACACTGATTTTCGTTTCTTCACGAAATTGTATTCAATTTCTATCCATAATATCTCATTGGGTTCAAATACATGGCCTTTGTTAGTACATCAGATTTATGGGAATTCAATAAAAGGGGAAGTCAATTAAAATAGCATATTAGTCAGTCAAAAGTAACAATGGTTAAAAACTATTAAAAATATAACAATAGTTAAAATTGAGATATACAGCATGTTGTTACCATCGCAACAATAAATGAACACACATATAGGGGATAACTTTTTAAAGTTGTATTAAACATTTAAATTCTTTAAACATCAATATTTACAGAGTTATAAAATTTTCCAAAACAAAGAATTTTAGAACATCTTACCTATAAAAGCGTAACGTAAAGTTCATTTGTAAAGGTCACAAAGCATATGAATGGTTTGAATGAATTTAAGAGACAAAACATACTGTTAGAAGGAGAGGCTTGTAAAGCGACGCTGTGGCGCGAGTTCTATAGGTGTTACAAATTTTGTTTCTTTTTTACTTAATTAGTTTGTTTGAAAAATATTTTTTTTTAATTATGGATTTTGTTTAACGTTAATATTTTTTTATGATTATTGGCAAGTAGCGTTAGACGTGTCTTCATTTATTGTCACGATGGTAACGACACGCTGTATAAAAGATGTAAATAAAATGAAAACATAGATGTCCTATTATCCTTTACGAGTTGATTTGTTTTCATTCCATGTTTAATTTTAGTCATGGGTATTAAAAGCCTCTACATAATCAATATACAACAGGTATTTTTAACATTCATAAATAAATAATGTACCTGACTATAATTACACTTTAAGTTTGAAAAAATGTTTTATATTAGACACCTTTACTATTTTCTTGTGTGTAACTTAAATATAAATATTTAATTTATAGTTACATAAATAAAGGTATTAAAAATATTTTCTGGCTATTTTTCTTATGTACTTGAATCTTTTCTGGCACTTCAGCATGGTTTATTGGATTATAGTAGACACATTGGAAAGTCAGAATTGAATGATTGTTGTGAATATGACTCCTGTTCATCTGAGGAGCAAAGTTATCATAAAACCTCATTACAAAAGTAAGACTTAACTTATAATGCCTTTTTATTCATTCTTTTTGACAAGTGAACCTTTTTGTTCAAAGATTGCCAATCTTCAGAAAAAACCCCACTATCTTTTTTCAGATCATCAAGATAAAGCAAAAACTTATAAATTACATAAAATATTAAACTTATATATTTCTCCAGATGAGCCTATTTGTGTAATAGCACAAGTTGCTGCATGACCCTAACACACCTCCATGATAAATGTGAAGTGAAATGTTAGGATTATTATTTTTTGTGGACATGTGTATATGCATGTATTACATATAATTTTTTTTATGTTATTCTGAGAGTGGTAGGGCCACTCAACAGGGCCCTACCACTCTATTGCATGAATGGGTAGGTCTGTCCAGGTAAGTACCACAGAATACTGGCGTGAAGTGCAAGTGTCCTACCTTCTGCGTTTCGTCTGGTGAGTGAGGTAGCTGGGGCCCACTTTGTTATAAGATGGCAACGCATCTGCAACCGTGTTACAAATGTCCATGGGCGGCGGTTATCATTTATCGTCAGGTGAACCGCCAGCTCGGTTGCCACCTTCTCACATAAAAGAAATAATAAAATGTACAAATTTTTTAATTATGTCCAAGTGCAAAGTAATTAATAATTTGCAGGGGGCGTTACCCGTTTAACTGAATCGGGGTTGTCAATGGTGACTTGGAAGCTCCTTGGCGAAAAGCTCCCGACCAGCGAGTTGGAGTGGCAACAGGAGTTCGAGAAATACAAACAGTATCCAGAGTATAAATAGTTAGTGCTATTGTATATAACTTTTAGAAAAATAAGTTTATATATATATATATATATATATATATATATATATATATAAATATATCTATTTATTATAATTTCTTTTTATTTTATTATATTTAAGTCTATTTTGGTATTAAGCAAGTTTATTGAGCACACCACCTCCCACTATTCATTAGTTCATTTTTCCTCGTCCTAAGGTTGTCTGGAAGAGATCGCTTTTTAGCGATAAGACCGCCTTATTGTACCTAGCTTTTAAGACTTATTTCATACTAATTGTATCAAATTCTTTGTGGTGTACAATAAAGTATATAATAATAATAATATGAAGTTTGTTCTCGTTTTATAAGATTTCAGTAAAAATTGAATCGGAATGAATGATTAATTATGAAGCAAGTCTGCAGGTTGGGGAGTAATAGAGAAAATAAAACACGTTATATAGAAATAACAGGTAGTAGGGCCACGCAGCAGTCTTCGCTGTTGCACAAATGGGTAAGTATCATGATCTCACAGAAGATCGGCGCAATGTGGAAGTGTTGTGTTGTTATGCTTCTGCGTTTCTTATGGTGTGTGTGGTACACAAATCACACAAATCATAATCATCAAGGGCCGGTCCGGTACTCAAGGCGGTGTCGCCTTTCCAGCAAGAACCAGCACATGACGCTGTCGGAGTTCAAGTGGATCTGGTGGATGGAGTACGCTCACCGCACGTGGGGCCGCTGCATCGGCGCGGCGGTCTTCCTGCCGGCCGCCTACTTCTGGATGCGGGGCAGGCTGGAGGCCGCGATGAAGAAGCGCGTCTCCGTCTACTGCCTCCTCGTCGCCGCTCAGGTGCCCTTTTAGTTTGGGGTTGGAGGTTCCCTGGTGGGGGTCGTGGGTTCGATTCCCACAAGGGACAAGTATTTGTGTGGGCCACAGATAATTTTTCAGGATCTGGGTGTTTAATTCTCGTCGTTTGTTTGTTTGTTGGTGGAAAAAATTATAGCTAAAACCGCTTACAACATGATTCATATGTTGTGCCGACCCCACAAGTGGGATAAGGGCAGGTGGGATGATGATGTTGAACACGAACTGATTGTAATTTAATTTTAAAAGTTTAATGCTAGCCTTTGCCCTTAAGATGAATAGATTTAGACCGTAAGTTTATTAAAATGTTAAATAACTAGGTCTTGGACATAGGGCATACCTCGATACAAATTGAATTTGGCTGTGTCCCATTCCTCTCCATGTAAGCCTGCCGTCGCCTGTTCCAGGGTCTGATGGGCTGGTACATGGTGAAGTCGGGCCTGGAGGACCGCTTCCAGGGTCCGTCTGACGTGCCCAGGGTGTCCCAGTACCGGCTGGCTGCACACCTCAGCCTGGCCTTCCTGCTCTACTCGGGCCTGCTGAGTGGAGCCCTAAGGGTGCTGCGCCCCTTCCCGGTCTCAGGCGCTCTGCAGACCATCAAGCAGCTGAAGGACGTCACGGCCTTGGCGCACACAGTTAAAGCGATGGCTTTCATCACAGCGGTGTCCGGTGAGATGTGATGGTTAATCATTCATGATGTGTTTGTTGTATTGCTGTCTTTAAGATTTGTTGAAGTAGTCTTGCCCTTTTATCGGATCATAGGTTAGTAATTAATTAAACAAATTTCTCCGCAAGTTTTCTTTTTCCTTTTCGAAGTGACATACCTGTTCACGTTGTATATCGTCAGGTAAATTTAGATGAAGGACAAATTAAAATTTAGAAATTGTTAAAGTTCAGAATGTTTTAACGTTTTATACAGATTTGGGGAAAATGTAGATTAAGATTAAACTATGCGTTAAAATACCATTGTATAGAACGTCACAAAACATATTTATCTTTTCTTCATTCATAACTTTATTATTGGCATAACCTATTTATATAGCAAGATTCTAGAAGTATTTTCTCTTTTATTATTTGTCGTATTTTTTTTTTGTTATAAGTGAGGTTTTGCACTAATCAGCAAGTGAAATGTGGTCCTTCGAACCGGATTTCCGCAGGAGCTTTCGTGGCCGGTCTGGACGCGGGGCTGGTGTACAACTCGTTCCCGAAGATGGGCGACGACTGGATCCCGGACGACGTGTTGAGTCTGACGCCGCTCCTGACCAACCTCACCGAGAACCCGACCACCGTGCAGCTGGATCACAGGTCTCGGATCTCTTTATGTGAGGAGGTGGCTAGCGAGGTGGCGGTTCGCCTGATGTTAAGTGATAAGCGTGACACTTCGACTTCACGCCGGTTACACTTCTGCGTTTCGTCTGGTGAGTGTGGTGGCACTTCATTAAACGGTGGCAATGCCTTTGCGACCCTACGGCCGTTGCAAATGTCCATCTGTCGCGAATATCACTTACCGGCCAGGTGAACCGCCAGCTCGCTTACGATCCTATCACATACAAAAAAAAAATAGTTGCATTTTTATTTTGGAACGGATAAGTAACACGGGTGTTATTCAATAGTTTCGAATAATACTAGAGAACGAATTTCGTGCGACCTGCGTAGCTACTTTCGCCCGTCAGAGGAATCCCATTGCGAAATGCTACCGATAGACGAAACGTAAGCTCCTTATTCGGACGAGGGAATGATTCGATTCGTCCGCCGGCGCAGAGCGCTGGGCACCATGACGCTGGCGGCGGCGAGCGCGCTGTGGCTGGTGGCGCGCCGCCGGCCGCTCTCCCGGCCCGCCGCGCGCCTGGCGCTCGCCCTCGGCGCCATGGCCTGGCTGCAGGTGCGCTGCACCCCATTCCCATTCGCCCCCATTTGCACTGGACCCCATTCCCATTCGCCCCCATTTGCACTGGACCCCATTCCCATTCGCCCCCATTTGCACTCGCCCAATTACCATTCGCAGTCATTTTCACTCGACCCCATTCACATTCGCCCCCATTTGAACTTGACCCCATTCACATTCGCCCCCATTTGCACTTCACCCAATTACCATTCACCCTCATTTTCACTCGACCCCATTTTTTCAAGCGACTCGTTCCCATTAGCCTATTTTCCTATTTTCACTTAAATAAAGTAACAGCATATGTCCCACTGCTAGACAAAAGCAGTGAAAGGTAGACTTCACATATTACTTTGTTATTATTTCAAAAATATGTAGGTTTCCTCATAGTTTCGTTCACCACTGAGAACATGGTAACTTTTAGAATTAACAATTTCATTGGTGCCGGCATCGTGATTTTGGATTGAGGTTGCTAGCAATGTCAGCAATTTTCACTTGCCCCCATTTTGTTTGAAGCATTTTCACTCAGTCCTATTGCATCACGGACTGTGTAAAACTTAATCGGACAAAAAGCCGTACAGTATGCAATTCTTAAAGGCTTACTAAGATGTGTTACATTAATAGGAAACGATGAAAAAAAATTCACAAGTGCGGTTCAATTCTACGTTACCGGTTATAGCAATTTAACTGTTTTATGAAAAACTATTTAAAGCAGTTAATAAATTAACTAAGGTTGCCCCCTTTTTAGCCTTCATTTAATTTTAAGTTTACTAAAGATAGAAAATTCACTCTTGTAATAGAGTTAAAGTTAAAGTAAAATTAATGAAATATTGCCGAGAAGTAAGGTACCAGCGATTTTCCGCTCCGCGTCCCACAGGTGGGGCTGGGCATAGCCACGCTGCTGCACTACGTGCCCACCCCCCTGGCCGCCAGCCACCAGTCCGGCTCCCTGGTGCTGCTGACCCTCGCCATCTGGCTCACCCACGAGATCAAACTCCTCAAGTACATACCCAAGTAGCGCATGCCTTCACTTAAACTGGGCAAGCATCATCTGCCATCCGAGCATTTGTTTCATCGCAACGACGATGGCCTTTGTAATTTAGCAGGACAACTTAAAAATTTAAGAATGTAATGTCCTTTGATGATAATAATAATAAACACTGTTTAATTAAATTCTATCTTTGTTCGAAAGCACCTAAGGATTGTTAAAAGATTCGCTTTTATTGAAGAAAACGTATTTTCATTTATTTATAAGACATTCAGATATTTTAATCAGCATTTACTTGCAGTTATTGTAAATACCATTTTTTTATAATTCCACGAGATCAAGACCAGTATTTTAGGAACTTTACGAGTAATTAGTTTTTTTATAGGAATAAATGAGTTTCGTTTTACTTCCTCGTTTTATTTTACCTTGAAGTTATGATTCGTTATTTTCGAATTTCATTTCGAAAGGCTTATAAATAACAAACACACGAAATGTTATTCACAGTGGGTTTTATTTGAAAATTTTAAAATGCTAATATTGCTTACACACTCAAAAACTACATATTATATACAGTCATGCATCGAGACGGGACACACGGTTACATCGTATGGAACCTTCATTAGGCAAAAGAGCGACTATTTGAATACTGAATTGCGCAACACAGAAAATTTTTCATTTAACGTAACAATAAGACAGACGCATTAAGCTTACACATAGTAAAAAAAAATAACGTAAATTTATATATGGTTTTAAATATATACAATGATATGTGATAATTGTGGGCTGTTTCGGTTTTGTATAAATCGTCTCCCATCAGAACACAACACAACACCGTTTCTAAAATATACACGTACATGTTGGAAACGCAGCGAATTTATCATTTCGTCGCCTATCTAGATAAACTTTTAATAGTGAATATAAAAATTTCCAAGGTACGTGTGCGCTTCAAATCGACTCTTGCAACAAAATCTGGAAATTATACATGCATTTTTTAAACATGTAACATGTAAACAGTTGCATTGCTTCTAATTTGTTCGCTGTATTTAACAATTTTACACAGTTACATATGGCTTCGGTGCAAATACATTAGGATATAAAACGTGGGTTATACAATTGGGTGCATATTTAATTTATCCCCAACAGTTGTAGTGTCAACTTGACATTGATGCAACATATGATTAATCAATTCCCCATTAATTTACGCGAAATCGATAGTTGCCACTGCATTACAAAAAATTCAAATCAAACCCTATATAAAAAAAATTATACCTAAGTTAACGCTTAACAAATAGGCGAACCTGAGCTAAATAGTTATTTCCATGGAGCAGACAGTTTTTTACTTTACCCGTATCAGTTAGTCACAAAAAGGGATCAGCGAATAGAATTTACACAGTGTACCGCCAAGCCCCATTCAGTAAAAATAAAACCTCTCCTCCCCTACATCAATATAAAGTGTAAACATTGCATATAGGATGTAAACATCTCGTAAAATCATTTAAATCACGAAATCTATTAGAAATATTTGCATTCGAATATAAAATACAGGTAATACAGTAGACGGTTACAAATAATTAATAAATTACTGAGCAAATTTACATTTCACAACTAATCAGTGCAGCTTTCGGAGCTAGGAATAGGGCTCGTCGAAGTGTCAATAGCAATCATAGCACCATACGGTAATTCCTTAACATGTACAAAGAAATGCTTCATCAAACAATTTCGACATAACCAATTCACGAGCAAGACGGGGGCTGAATTCTGAGATCTTGCCGGTCAATATCCTATGTATACAACTATTCAGGTAGATTGTATGAGTAGTTTCATTCACTCTTACAACAAAATGAAAGCATTAGACATCGGTTCGTATGTTTTATGGTTATTAATACAATATGGCATGCAGTACGAACAGTTGTCAAAAATTCTCAAGCTTATTGTCAGAGGTTCTCCGCTTAATTTCCTAACGAGCATTGAAACGTCGGTATTTCGAACGAAGTGGTTATAGCTTTCAACCAAACAAGATATTATACATAATGTAATAAGCGGATGTTAGTTCCTCCGCGGAATCTTATGTCCAGAATAGATCACTTCCGGTTCCGCTATAAACACTTTGTCCTCTTTTATCATCTATGGTAACCAGGTTGGGCTGAAGTTCACGATTGGTTTTCCAGAAAATGAGCCTCATCCGAAATTTACATTAGCGTATAAATATAAAACATATTTTTATTAAACCTAAAAAGTTAGTTTTTTACCATTAATTAATTATATTATACATTAAATTATGTTAGATTTTTATGCTAGACAGTAAATATAGAATACCTTAATAAGAGCAATGAAATCCATGGAATATATGTGCTCGATTACGCTATTTTACATTGATTATATATTAGGCGATTTTTACCATTTATCGTTTAAGCGAACGAAGGAATTGTATAAGGGGTATAAATACATTTCGAAAATATACAATGACGATAATATTTAGCTATTTATATGAAGGCCGCTGAAGAATTTGAAAATATACACATATAAATTTTTTTTAATTTGCAAGCCGTAATGAAGTCTTCGTTAACATTTACGATTTAAACACTTACGGCCGAACCATAGACAATATTTATCATTTAATCAGCGTTAAGTTATTTGGATCGACTGAAGTATTATTAGGTCATTACAAGTCCTTAAGACTGAACGCATTGCACGCGTAAATGCTTGTAGTCTATGAGTTCGGCTACAATACTTTTGCAGAGGATTTTTATAATACTTTAAAAAGTTCGCGTTATAAAAACAAATATAACACAATAACATATTTACAGATGCACCATGAGGAACATTTATGCGAGTAATTTGTATAAGTATTGTGAAAACTTAATTGAGCTTCCAACTAAAATGTGGTGATAAATATTTAGAAGTTTCAAGTTTTTAGTTGACTCTTCGAATGGAGATTTGTTTTATTTACGAAACTATATTTATGGATCTTATCAAGTTTAGTATAACGACGTAACGAATGCTTTTGTTGAGTATTTCGTTTAATAAGAAGATTGAAAAATTACCATCAAACTGTTATGCATATGTGTTATGTATTTTATTCTGCTAAATCTTTACAATCTGTTATGTAAATAAACCACCTTAGGGTAAATACTTGTAAAACGAGGCGTACCTCATATCTCCTCGTATTCGATATTGTGTGTTGCTGTTTAGCAAAATGTTTTGAAAGAGGCAAACATAATATACAGGCAAATTTCACACATCGGAACTGTCTTAAAAACTATGCCTTATTCCGCGTATTTTTTCGTGTATAGAGCATATTTGTTTATACGTTAAATGGAGAGCGTGGTTCAACGTGGATTGGTTTACAATATTTCTGACATGCAAGGACAACACTACCCGCACGTGGTCGTTTGCCAAACATACGCGAATACGACAGGTAAATTTCTATTAAAAAAAAAAGCAAAACAGACTTCAAATAATTTACTCGCTTCACATTTTTTTCATTTGATTTTGAGGAGTTCCCTTAAGTATCTCCGGAATCCAAACTCCAATACCTCCCTCCATAGTTGAAGACTCCGTGGCGCAGTTGCCAAGGCATTGGTTTCGACGTCGGAGTCGCGGGTTCGATTCTCACACGGGACAACTATTTGAGTGACCCACAGATAATTGTTTCGCTTCATGGTATTCGTCCACGTGAAATTTATGTTTGTAAAACGTCCTTACAACACATGATAATGTTATCCTACAGTATGGGCAATGTAAAAAAAATACAGAAATACAGAATACCGATGAAATTAATTAACGATTTTTTACTACGTGGGAGCTAAACCGAACCGAATGCAAAACGGTAATTTTAAATTCGACCCATAAATGGGGGAGTTATGAAGGAGAAAGCATTAGAAGCCGGTTCTCCCCAATTCAGTGGATTTTCTCCGAACCGGTAGTAGTATTTTTTGACAATCAATAAGTAAGTGTAATGATTAAAGATATTTAAATCAATTTTGCCAACCTAAGTCACTGTCAACACGAGAAAGCATTCTTTGTGGTTACAGTTCTCAGTGCAATATGGGGGCACATGCGTTATCGTTACCGAAAATTAGATAGCATCTTTACGAAAATGAGATATTTTCGTAAAAAAATCCGCTTACGCTAAAATATGTTCACGCCGTGTGAAATTAGCATTCGGGGCGAACTTAGGAGTAAACACAATTTGAAGTTTAAGCCGTTAATTAGGGATATGTCTAACAGCGGGTAAATCACAATAGTTAATCGTAATTGTTATACTATATTATAATTAGATTTTTATTTTATTACTTCTAACATATATTTGATATTTACAGAGTTATTATCCATATTTTGTAGCTTGGATAATTTCGAATGAACAAGCGAAAAAATATTGTACGGTTTATTTTTATATACACAAATGCCCAGCAGTGGGACATATACAAGTATTTATAGTGGGATAAATGGACAATCGGTGTAGCCAAACAATGTGGGTATATAAAAGAACACCGATTAAAAATCGTTTACGTCCCTTAATATATACAGCGTGTCGTTACCACCGCGACAATAAATGAACACACATACAGAGGATAACTTTTTAAAACTGTATGAAACATTTACATTCTTTAAACATGAATATTTACCGAGTTAATAAATTTTCCAAAACAAATAATTTTAGAACACCCTTACGTATAAAACTGTAACGTAAAGTTCATTTGTAAAGGTCACAAAACATATGAATTCAACTTCATTTCATTCAACCCGAATGAATTTAAAAGAGACAAAACATACTGTTAGATTAAGAGGCTTGTAATGCGACGTTGTGGCGCGAGTTGCATAGGATGTTACAAATTTTGTTTCTTTTTTAATTAATTAGTATGTTTGAAAAATATTTTTTTTTAATTATGGATTTTGTTTAACGTTAATATTTTTTATGATTATTGGCAAGTAGCGTTAGACGTGTGTACATTTATTGTCGCGATGGTAACGACACATTGTATATATGTATATATAACTTATTATATATTAATTATTAATACATGTACTTTAAAATTTTATTTAGATAACAAGAATATTTTTCTTAATATATAAAATAAGTTAGAAATAAAGTTTTTTCTAATATTGAATTTTATGTTACATTTTATTTACTTTTCGGCGAAAACAGAGTTGAATTTATGCAAATTCATCTAAAAAGTAAATAGTACGTAAATAGATAAAATACGAAATTTGCCGAGTGTTAAACAAAACAAATTTACATCATGACATTCAATACATAAAAGGCGTGAAAATTTGTTTTCTTCGTTTGAATCCTAAATAATTAGATTAGTTTAATGTTACCTCTAATCGCATTGTTTTTCCTAAACGCGAACTGTGTACATCGTTTCCTAAAACGATAGACTTGACCTTATCGCGTGGAGCAAACCGATTGTTCCGTCTTCGGACCATTACTGAAGTTGAGAGCTGCTTAAACAACTAATTGGAACTGATGCATACGCTTCCACAACAATTACCAGTAAGACATTTAATTAATTTATATGGCAAACCAACGTTTTGCCATATAAATTTTTGTATTATTTGTATGGTAGAAAAAAATGTGTGGGGTGGACCACCCATAACATTTAGGGGGATGAAAAATAGATGTCCGATTCTCCACCCTGGCCGATATGCACACAAAATTTCACGAAAATCGGTCGAGTCGTTTCGGAGGAGTTCAATTACAAAAACCGTGACACGAGAATTTTATACATTACATAAACATATATTTCTTATAAACATGGCACGTCGAGATGGATGCACCTCATAATAAAGGCGCGCGGAGATCGCTTAAAAGGTATCAGTCATACGGAATAGACATAAATTACCACGATTCAAGAAAATAAGTAATATACGAAATTATCATTTGTTAAAAACGGTATTACTATCATCAAAGTTGTAAAAAAAAACCCCGCAATCGAATCGAGAAAATTCACAAACAAAAAACTCAACGGCAAATTAAAAAAAAAATATGGCAGTCACGTCCCGACAGACGACGTGTTACAATTAATTAAGAGTATAAAAATAAATGCATTAGTTCAATTTGCCAGCAAAATAGTAAAAAAGGAAAAAATATAATTATAATCTCGCTACAGGGGAAATAAAGTATAAGGGATCGCGCAATAGTTCCGCAACAGTCCCAATAGAACCTTGTAATATTAGACCAAGAAAGAAAGTTACAATATAGGCCTTAAAAATCTGAGTTAAATAAGTTGTACGATCCAATAAACAAGTTGCGTACATTTTTTTTAAATTTTTAATAATACTTTTTATACAAAAAAAAAACATTTATAATCGATTAAATACGAAACTGTTTCAATCGATCGCCGAATCGATCGCTGAAAATTAAATAATCTAATCGATTTTCGCATCGGCGATTATGAGCGGTGGAACGTTTGCCGCGCTTTTGTGAAAAATGTCATTATTTGAACGAGTATTTTTTTTAAATGCTTATAACATCGCTTTACTATTTACAATCAATAATGTAAGTATTCTACACCTTTTCTTTGTCTTTAAAAATAAACAGAAAGAAGCTATCGAACAGAGACTATAATCTTGAGATTATGGGAAATAAACCCGGAACTTTTATATAAACTGTCGTTAGAGAGAGACTTAAACGAGACTTTAATGATAGGATAATTGCGTAAAATATACAGCTAAGGTAAATTTATATGCAAAATCATTACAGTGATCGACGACCGAACGCGGCTTAAACAAACCGATACGATAATAATAAGTAGACAAATCGAAAAAATACGTCTTTTTTCGATTTGTCTACTGTTCATCAAAAAGCATCGTAAAAATCGTTCATCAAAAAGCTAGTGTTGTTCCTTTAAGAGAGCAAGTAATCATCAACCAACAACCCAAATTATAAACTCGATTGGAACGCATGCAATTCTAATTTCCGCCGAATTGTAACAGCTTTTCGAGACGTACCGGTTCATATAAAACAAAAAATTTTAGCCGTTCACACAAATACTGGTCGAAAGTAGAGGAAATCGACGAAAACGTGCATCGCTCAGTCCCTCTGGAATCGTTTTGGGCGTTAGAGAAAATGACAAAAAATGGCATGGGACAGCGCGTCATTCGCGATCGCCTGGTGACCGATGCGGGCGTACCTCGACACGGGGACCGGTTTGGGGCTGAGACTTGGACTGGGTCTGGGTCTTGGTCTTGGTCTTGATCTGGGTCTGGGCCCAGAGCGACTAGCTGGGCGGGCGCGGCTCGGTGCTCACGATCACCTGCACCACGTAGCCGGGCGTGATCTTCGCCTCCTCCACCAGCAGCCTGTCGCCGAGGAGTTTGCCGCCGTAGAACCAACGCTGGCGCCACGCCTCTATTCCCTCTTGGGCCTGGAACACACGGTTGTTTTTTTGTTTTAATACCAGAAGATAGCAAACGAGCTTGCGGTTGCCAATCTTTAGGGATGCAATCTGTTAGGTGGGGTGTAAGTGTCAGGTAAGTCGTATACCAGCCACTTATTGAGGGACACACTTTTTATCTAAGAAAATGGCAAGCAAGTTCTAGTGTATGTCGTTTGAGGAAAGTGAAGGGGTAAGTGGATGTGCCAACCTTTAACAGGCTGCAACAAATTGTTTTTGCAAGACTGTGGCAAATGTGCACACTTATCACCGGTTTACTTGTGTCAAGTTATTACCACAGCTCATGGGCTACAGATGTGTTGCCAACCTCTTTACAAAACGCCACCCGTTACCTGTCGCCAGATGAAACGCACAGGTATAATACTGCCACTTCACGCAGTTCTTCTGGAAGGTCCTAGTATTTCCCGGGACGAGACTGCCCATTCTTGAAATAGCAAAACCGGCCCCACTTCAGTTCAAACCCAAGATACCACATTCACCTGACGATAAAGCAACTGTGAACACTTCAGCACTAAATATTATCTGTCTGCGGAGCTGTAATATTTCTTTATCTAAATAAGCAGCATCTGCTGCTGGTGTTTTCGTGTGTGAAAAGACAACCAGCTAGCAGGTGGTTCACCAGATGTTACGTCACCATTATGGACTCCAATCCGCAACGCCTGTGGGACCCGATAGATGCTAATAGAAAAAAAAGACAAACATAGTAAGTTAACTTGCTGCTGTACCGTTGCTGGACTAAGGCCCCGGTTGATGTGACGGTGACAATAAGTATATCAAATATTGCACTTGATAACAAAATAAAAGCGAGTCGACCACGAGTCTGTAGAGGGAGTATTCATAAAAAAAACCATCTGATTGACATGCAGATGTGGCCTGTTATCTTTAAAGATTAGCATCGGCCACAGTTTCAAAACGTTTGTTTCAAGCTGTGAAACGTGTCAGGTTGTAAGCTTGTCGTGGTCCACCAGACAATGATGTGGCACTTGCCGATTAGCCACCTAACCGATACGGGACACTCACGTGCAGCTCCGCCTTGCAGTGCGCGATGGTGTGCCTCGCGCCGACCTGCAGCTCCACGTCGCGGCAGGTGGTGGAGAGGCGCAGGCGGAGCGCCAGGGCGGCGCCCCCGTCCGCCGGCTCGGACCATTCGGCGGGCGAATCCCGCCCGCTCGCCTCCTTCACCATGTTTATCGGCGGCGACAGACAGTAGATTGGCACCTGATGCAACATCATTCAAATTGGTACGATCAATCTTGAAAAGCCAGCCAGTAAAATCGTTGGTATTTCTGGGGTTCTTTTTTTTTAAGGGAAAAATTGCCGAATGACCAGACGATTGGGTGACCCCCCAACATTGATAGACATCACCACCTGAGGGCTTGCAGATGCATGAAGAACTTTAAAATAATTAGGAGCCAGTTACCTCACTCACCCTTCCTTCAGTAACATACATTAAATTGTAATTAACTGGCATTAGACTGACATTAGACATTTAACTTGGATTGGTTGCTTAATCTGCATTCAAACAGCTCGAAACAATACAGTATAATAGAAACTTTATTTTGATTTTACAATAATAATATTTTTAAATAATACTTTCTTATCATTAATATGTGTACCACCTCATGAATTTTACAATAACATTAGAAAAGAAAAATGCTCCTGATTCGTCTGTCTGGTATGTGAAACAATCGTAAGTTATAAGCATTCACAAATTGAATGACTCACGGACAAAAGCTTGATACAATTGAAACATTTTAAGCAACCATGAGACACAGCAAACTGACCGTTGCATCCTATCTATTCTATTTCCATACCACAACAGGAAGTTAGGCTTGTGATAAACTATGTAAGAAAGTGTAATGTTACGCATGCACTGTGCATTCTACAGTTGAACATAAATATTATTTAAGATTATTATTACAATGTCAAACTTTTACTTCAAAATAGAAATGTTAGTAATAATTTGAAAATTGTGAAATAATTCCGAGGAAATTGAGAGAAAATTTTGTCAGTTGAAGAAATTGGTGTACAAAGAGAATTTATAGTGTCAAATGGAGTTTGAAAGTCTAAAAGATATGGCTGAACATCGGAGGCAGCTAAAGTAAAAATGGTGCAAATATGAGTCTCTTTGTTTAGATCATGTATTTGTGCTATTTGCTGTTTTAACTTTGGGTCTGTCGGATCCCCGTATATCGAAATTTTTGAACCAGCTCTCTTGTCACCAGCTGGTTCTTTTCTCTCTCAAAGGTTAAGCATAAATATACACCCTATATCATGAAGCATGATCTAAGCCACCTGCTCCTATATTGATAAGGCTCATTGCAAGTAAAATGTACTCATAATTAATTCTCATGCTTTTGCATGTATACATAAATGCTAGAGGTATGTAAAGATTGTGGAAAGTGTTAATCCATAATATCAACCCATTTGAATGACACATGTGAACTATAGTGTACAAGTATAAAAATGTCAGTGAATACTTAGGTAAACATATTATGTTAAGACATTTTCAGCATTTAAATGTTTAGTTACATGCCTTTTTTCAGTTTTAGACTAACAGTCTTCTAAAAAAACGCCACATACCATGCAATCTAGCTCTGGTTAACTGCTATATATTTATTTATTAGAATAAATACAGTATAGTAGTAATTTGGACATAAGCCTTTGTATCTGTAACTCGATGTTGAATATTCCGAAAATAATACCTGGTATCTGGTCCCCCATTCATCATAGCATTCTGTTAGGTAGCCATTGGGCACTGACACGCTGGCTCCGTCGAGTATAGCTTGCGCCAGCTGGAAATCCATGGCCTCGGCGGCCACCGCTGCCGCCCGGAGTGCATCCCAGATCTCCTTCCTTCCCTCGAACGCCGGCGCGGTATCCCAGAACTCGTCCCGTTTGCTACGCAGCTGGCCCTCGGTCAATGGCACGTCTGACTTCCATCGAATTGTCTCGTGACACAGCGACTGATTTTTTCTCAGCGCGCCTAAAACAAAAGCACAATTAGTTCACAGAATCGTCTCCACGGCGACAGTCCGTCTGTTCACGTACCGGAATTGGGCCGTGACACAGTCCCGGACGATTCTTCGATAGGCCCGCTCCTGCTTCTAGTGATTCCGATGCAACCGCCCATTGTAATCACATTCTACGGTGGCCAAATTAACAATTTCTTACAAAAAAAATATTAACAAATAACATTTTCATCGCCTGTCCGCTGCTGTCAAAAGATAGCTGTACATATTCTGTCACTGCATCGTATTATTTAGAGTTAAAAACATCATCCGTTAAATATTTACATTTTAACTGCAATACAAAAACATTATAAACGTTAAAGTATTACAAAAATTTTAAAAAGTAAAGAATTATTTTCGTTAATGTTTATAAAATATTTTATTTTAACTGTGAATTTTTATACATATGATGAAATCCATTGACAATGTAATAACAAAACGCTTTAAGGGATGAAGTTATTGACCGTATCATTCATTAATAATTAGTAATAATACGATTACATTAAATTGGTTTCTATTGAAACTCTTTCATGAAATTTCTTTTCTGTTTCTTATTACTTTGTCGATATATTTTATGCTTTCCATAAACTAATATCAATTACATATTTATCGTAAATTATTGGGCTTTCTAAGTTGGGCTTGGGCTAAATAACTTAATACTTTTACGCAGAAATTACATCAGGCATCATGTTAATAGTATCTAAAGTAAAGTGGAAGTAACGTCTTATTTATGTCCCACTCATGGGCAAAGGCCTCCTCTGTACTCTGTATATAATTGCCCCGAATGCGGATTGGTTGGTTGACTTCACATAACTTCGAAATATTTATTTTTACTATTTCGAAAATATGCATGTTTCCCGATGCTTTCCTTCACCGCTGAGCAGCAATTATCAATTTTATTAGTGACAACACTGGGATTTAAACATAGGTTGCTCGAGTATACTAGAGGTACTAAATTAATAGCGGGTGCCCGAACACTGAGCTCTGTTTCGTGCATTATTTTTAGGGTTCCGTAACCAAAAAGTAAACCAGGATCCTATTATTAAAAATCCACTGTCTGTGTGTCTGTCTGTCACCAGGCTATATCTCATGAACCGTGATAGTTAGACAGTTGATTTTTTTTATAGATAATGTATTTCTGTTGCCGCTATAACAACAAATACGAAAAACGGAATAAAAAATTTTTAAGTGGGGCTCCCACACAACAGACATGATTTTTTTGCCATTTTTATATATAATGGTACGGAACCTTCTGTGCGTGAGTCTGACTCGTACTTGAGCGGTTCAAAATTTTGTACATCTACGTCAATTCGGTGGAAATCTTTAAGTATCACATAGCCTTTATTTATCATGAACTAATCGCCATAATTGATGCGATAGCCGATCTCAATGCACAATAATTATTTCTCATTGCTTTAGAATGAAATACCTAGTTAATACATTGTTTTATTTTTTTAAATCCCTGGTTATATTTGGTAATATAGTACTGACATACTTTTTTGTAACATCTAAGTAAATTTAAAAGTCACTAAACTTATGTGATAATGTTATATTTATATGATATGTATAAATGATATACTTTATACTATAGATATGGATGCATTAACACTTTCCAACTCATATTATCTCAATTTTTGCTAAGATAACTAGCGTTATTTTTTTTTATGTGAAAAGTTGCTAAGCAAGCAGGTGGTTCACCTGATGTTAAGTGAATACCGTCGCCCATGAACATCTGTTACACCCGAGGGTTGCAGATGCGTTGACAACCTTTTGAAAATTGGGCTCCGGCTACCTCCCTTACCAGACGAAACGCAAAGTACATTAAAAAGTAACTATACTCTTCTATGTCAAGTCTTCTGTGAAGACGTGGTACTTACCCGGATAAGCCTGCCCACTCGTGCAACAGCCGAGGCTGCTGCGTGGCCGAATCACAGTGAAATCATCTTTATTCCAGCTGTTTTTCCTCAGCTTTTTGCTTGAGCCTCATAACCTATCGGAAGTAGAAATCCGAATCGATGCATTTGTCCGGTTGTAAAAGCACATAATATACACTGCCCTTCCAATGCAACCATACACACAGCATCATATTTCGTGTTAATCTCGTTTTTCTAGTCTGTGGAGCTTTTTTGCATTTTGACTATGATTTTTTCGAACGTTTTTGTTGTACGAGACCCACTTTTCATGAACAATCCCAATATCTTCAAAAGTTGTACGATTTCATTGTTAAATTTTGAGAATTGCAAATGAGAGCTGTATAACTCCGTGTCCGGGCGCTCGTTTTTTATTCAATATACTCGAGCAACCTGAGTTCAAATCCCGTGGCCAGCACCAATGACATAATCAATTGTAAATGCTGAATTGTCACGTGCTTATCGGTGTAAGAAAACCTCGTGAGGAAACCTGAATAATTTCGAAATAATAAAAAAAAATCGATGATATGTGATGTCCGCCAATCCGCAGTGGGGTCGCGTGGTGGACTATGCCCCAAAATCCTCTTTACAGAGGAGGTAAAACCAAGTTATATATTTAATTACCTTAACAAAACGCGAAACTCATTTAAACAAGATCTTTGAATACAATACAGTGTTGTTATAGGGCCTTTGAAAATGTATTTAGGGGTATGTCATCTTTATTTTCGGGTCATTTTTTAGTACTTGGCAACACTTATGACTTCACATTCACATTTACAGTCACTTTTTGATTGTCAAATTTGAAATTTAAAACTAAATAAAAGAAACAAATATACTACAATTTTAAAATCTAGAAAAAGTAAATTAAGTAAACAAATGTTAAACATTTCGAAATATTATGAAACACACTTCAAGAAATAAAAGCTATGGAAAACATTAAAGACTCAATAAAAGAGTTCGAAGTAAAAAATGTAGGAAACCTTTGTTTTTCTATTCACAGAGTATTCAGAAGTGTTCACAGCATTGAGCGATCTAATTTAGATAAATTAATCAATAACAATTATATTTTAAGGTGGATCCGACTGCATACTACATATCTGAGTTCTTATCAGTAAAAGAAGAGAAATATATCTTATCTAATATTTACGCAGCGCCGAAACCGAAATGGACACAACTTTCTAACAGGAGGCTACAGAACTGGGGTGGGATTCCGCACAACAAAGGCATGATAGCAGAGACAATACCAGCATGGTTGCAGACTCATCTAGACAAAATAAATAAATTGAATTTAATGGGTGGTAATAGCCCAAACCATGTTTTAGTTAATGAGTACACACCTGGACAAGGCATTTTGCCACATTTAGATGGATCTCTGTTTTATCCAACAATAACTACAATATCAGTAGGATCGCACATAGTTCTTAAGTTTTGGGAGCCACCACCCAATGAAAATGAAGATACATTAGCTTTAAAACCTGCTTTCTCCTTCTTATTGGAGCCCAGGAGCCTGCTGGTTTTACAGAATAAGCTATTTCATCACTATCTACACAGTATAGAGGAAATAAAGCAAGATATTATTGATGATTCCTTAAGCAACTTACATATGTGTTCTGACAATTATAGATATGGGTCTACAGTCACCCGTAATACAAGAATATCCTTGACCATAAGACATGTACCCAAAACAACTACATTTAAAATCAATATAGGCAATAAAAGATAATATTTTACAACCTGTTTTTCTGAAATAACCAAATTTAAATGTTCATTGCATATATATAGGATAATCAAATCTATTTATACATAAAAACAAATCTATTTTGATCCTTTGTGGGCCCAAAAGGTTGCAATGCATCTTCAACCTTACAGGTTTTGTAAATGTAACCGCATCGGTCTCCGGCACACAATTTATCAAAAGTTGCCCTTAAGACACAAATTATTATTATATCATATTACAAATTAATAAGACACAAATTATTATTAATAAGACACAAATAGTTAGGGTGGCTTGCTAGGAATCTTACATTAAAAACAAGCAACAAGCAACAAGTGAAAGAATACACAGCCAATGTGAGCACTGGATTTTGAGACCATGTAAGAGACAGCTCCAACAAGACCAGAAATCACTTCAGAAAAACACTAATGCCTTCTAAGCATGATTTGCAAAACTATTGAATTAAAGAAATAGAAATTTGACTGCAGCCTACTTAGGCTATATCATAATAAAAGCTAAGTCTGTCTCATCATCATGGATAGTGTAAAGTTGGGAAGAAAAAAACCAAATAACTAAAAAAATCCATAATTATATATTATGACTTTCTATTTTACTATTTTGCATGAAGTTTTCATATTTTCTAGTAATGGCCTTATTCTTAATATAGAATTAATCAAAAGTATTTAAATGTTTTGTCATAAGGATAGTTAGGTTGTCGCGGTTTATGTAACATATGTCAATCAGTTAATTAACCCTTTTATTGTAGGAATGTCTAAACTCACACATACTGGCCGTTTATACTGGTGTTTAAACGCAATAAGTATGATGTACCAAGTAATGCTAGGTAAGACTAAAGATTTCACTGATGCATATTCCTATAAATATAACATTAAAATATCGACACCATTTGTTCATACGCACTTTGAAGGCATTACAAATGGTTGTTATCAATATATTAAAAAACAATATCAATATACAATGCCATATTTAAAAATATTAATTAAAGCGCTTCGGATACGATTGACTTCAAAGTTATGTTTTTTTGCTAAATAAACAGTCTACCAATTTCATTTCCATGACAAAATGTCCAAAAAATGTGGAACGCTTCACGATTTTGCGTGTCATCCTTGCGCAGGGGCCATGCTAATCTTCTCTGTATCGTTCCAATTTTAGTATATGTACTGCCGAAGCAAGTACGTTGAATATACAAGTTGTTTTGTATATATACCAAGCTGATGAGAAACTTCGATAGCGTGTGTTAGCATTTCCTTTATTATTGTATCCAATCGTTGTTATTTCAGTTAATAAATGATGTAATCTATTAATATGAAAGACATGAATTTTATTGAAATTAATTTCATAAAAAAATCTGTTCATTATAAACTTATTTTACACTAAAACCCGAAAAAATAATACGGCAAGCTATTGAGCGGCATCTGTTGTATAAAGTTAGAACCATTTTAGAAGATTTTTTGCTAAATACGAATTTTTAAAGCATAGTTAAGTTTTATAAAACAGATTACGAATTGAGAATATAAGGAATTATTTATAAGCAATTATAGCGTTTGAAATTCAAGGGGATTTAAAGTTTAAAAGTATATATATTTTATTTACTTTCATACATATTTGCGCTATCTAGCGAAATTACACAGTACTACATACCTTTATACACTACGTGTAGTTTAGCATAGGTAAACCTTCCGAGGTTAATGATGACCAAATGGAAGTCATTATCTACCGTGCAAAATTGCAAAAGGATTAAATTTTATCGAACACAACATGGAAAATCACATAAGATGACTTGGATTTCTTGTTTTAGATTTTTGGGTTCACATGAATGGTAAGAAATTAATTTACCACAACAAATCAATATTTGCAATCGACCGACAGATATATCCTGTATAACTCTATATTCATCGAAAAAGATAATGATCCAAGATTGACGAACACGTACGAAATTCATTTAGTTCGAATTTTTCAAAGCTTTTTAAACATTAAGAATATCAGTAATAACGATGACCTCAAGACGCACTTGGTTGAGTTTATTGGTGCAAACTAAGAACTAGAAGTTTTATGGTCTTCGAATAAAGAATTTAGCAGAAAGATGGAAAAAGGTCATCGAACAGAATGAAAGACATTTCACTGATTAACGTTTTTTTTTTATTTAAGATGATGGCAAGCGAGCTGGCGGTTCATATGATGTTAATTCATATTTCATATTCGCCCATTGACATTTGCAACACCCGTAGGATTGTCCTTTTTAGAGTGTCGTAGCCAAAGCTTAAAAAGTGACCTTATTACTAAGACTGCTGTTAGCCTGTCCGTCCGTCTGTCACCATCCGGCTGTATCTCATGAACCGTGATAGTTAGACAGTTGAAATATTCACTAATGATGATGACTACACAGATTATGTATTTCTGTTGCCGCTATAACAAGAAATACTTACTAAAAAACGGAATAAAATAATATTTAAGTGGGGCTCCTATACAACGGACATATTTTTTTTGCCGTTTTTATAGATACAGAATCCTTCGTGAGCGAGTCCGACTCGCACTTGTCAGGTTTTTCATGAGTATTGTGAGATTTGAAATAGTTATAGTTTACATTTATATAATAAAAAATTAAATAAGTAAGAGATTGTTACAAATACATATATTGGATGTACGCAAAATGTTCGTTTTTTGTGGGTTTCCCATTGCACGCTAATGTCATGGCTTTTGTAAGTTTACTACCTAAAGCTACAATTATAAAAACCTTACAATTCCATGTTTAAATGAGTGAAGATTTACAAAACGGTTTTTGGTAAAATCTAGTCGGCTCATTTAAAGTGGCATAATTTTTTAAGTTTTCTTTTTCTGTTGATATAATTTTTAAAGGGTTTACAAGGATGAGCTTTTCCAAATTGTTTTGCGGTGCTAAAATCATTCGTTCCGGCGTGGCTATCAATACGGCAGTGAGGTCATTGGCTGCCGCCACAGACCAAGCAAAGAGTGGCTCTGGGAAGGAACAAGCGAAGGGAGATAAATCTAGTCATGATGATAAGGTGAGGGATTTCTTGAAGCGGCGATGAGTCTCTCAGCTCTTCTCGTCTATTTAAGTCTTTTGCTATTTGTTTATGAAAAAAAATATTTACACAAATGCGCCTTCCCTCGTTTAGACTGTGACCTCCCTAGAAATATTGAACGCTTTTATTTTGTTAATTCTATCATGTTTTAGCTGTAATGAGTGTTATTTTTTATATATAGATTGTATCTTTTTTATTACATAATGTGCTCATATCAAGTGTTACCTCATTTTCATATTTTTAATTTATCTGTAATATAAGGTTAAAAAATATTGTTGAAAAAAATTAAGAAGCTAAGATTTAATATGTTAATTTCAAACGTTTCGTCCATTTTTCTTACTAATTTTTAAAATTCATCCTAAGTGCGGAGTATAGTAGAGTATACTATCAAACAGATAAATACCGAGCATAACTCACTCCAAAAAGGATTTAGTACGATAGGCCACAGTCACACTCAGCGGAATTGTACAGAAGACCGAAGAGCATCTGCCTTTATGCTTGGCGTTTGCGGATTATGAGGAAGCCTTTGATTCTGCCGAAACTTAGGTGGTACTCAAGGCCCTTCAGCGGTGCCAATTTGACTGTTTGTATATCAAGGTTTTGAGGTGTTTGTATAAGAAGGCTACGATGTCCGTTCGAGTTCAGTCCAGTAGAAGAAAACCTATCCAACTGTAAAAGGGTAAGACAGGGTGATGTCATATCCCCGAAACTCTTCACAACTGCTTTGGAGGCTGTTTTAAAGCTTCTCGCCTGGAAAACATCGTATTAAAATCAAAGGCGAATAGATCATCCACTTTTGATTTATCGACGATGTAGTCTTCATGGCAGAATCGCTGTAGGACCTTGATCAATGACTTCAATAGTGTCTGCTATTGTAGTCATTGATAAGGAATTATCTGTGTGCGCTGCGGTTGTTTTAATTTGCATAGAATAACAGCCACGAACGAATTCCCAATACTCGGAACGACTGTTTGTATTTGCGGTCTCGTGTGGACGTCAGAACAGAACACGGGACGCAATCTGCAGTTGGCGAGGCGCCTCGAATGATTGCGCCGTCTGAGTGGTATTGGAACTTTCTAGAAGTGCGTGGTGCTGGGCGTGTTCGAGACCGAAAAGCAACTGGAGCTGACCCCAGCCGCCGAGGAGGTCAACCAGCGTAGCGGGGGCAAGTTGGCGCGACACTTGAACGAGTTAGTATTTGTTAATTTAGTTAGATTTCTTTTATACAAAAAATTGGCCACAGGGTAGATGGTTCATGTGGTGTTGGGCGACTACCGCCGCCCATGGATATTTACAACGCCTGGTGGGCTGCAGATGCGTTGCCAGCCTATTTGAAAGTGTGTATGAGATATATTTCCGTAAACTAAACTCTAATTCGTTGAGCACAACATTGGCGTCAAATTACGGTCTTATGGGATGCATTAGCGTATTGGCCATCGTAGTGTAGGACGACCCCCAAATAGATGGAGTGACGACTTGCGTGCGGGAACTCGATGGCTGCAGGTGGCCTGTAGGATCGTGCTTCGTGGCAGTCTGTGGGGGAGTCCTATGGTCAGCAGTGAACTTGAACAGGCTGAAATGATGATAATGATAGGATAACATTTTGGCAGTTGCCATCGAATGGGCTTTGGCGTAGGGGATCGTGGGTTCGATTCGCACGGGACAACTATTTGCGTGACCCAGATATTTTTTTCAATCTGGCTGTTCGTCCACGTGAAATTGTTTATAAAACGTCTTTAAGACACCGCATAATGTTATCCTACAGTAAGGGCAATGTTTTAAACAGACAAAAAAATGTTGGTCCTCTGCAGCCTGTCCTGTCAGCTGAGGCTGGGCAAGGCGTTTGTGGTGACGGACGTGCTGCCTGAGCTGGGAGACGTGGCTCTGGCTTCCTTCGGGCCCAAGGACGCAGGCTACAACAAGCTGGAGGAACTTGACGAATACAGGGTGAGGAGACAACAATATAAGTACAATCCTTATATAGTCTGTCTTAAATAACTGAAGTCTGGACCGATTTTGGGAAGACTTTTCGTAAGAGTAAACCTTTAGCGTTTTCTTTATTTTATTTTCTTGTAAGTTGATAAATTCCTAATCATAATGGTGTGGTGAGATGTTTTGGCAAGTGCAGTAGTACCGACTTTAATACATAAGTAATATTATAAAAAATATTCCGATATACTATATATGAATGACCACATGTATTATATATTCAAACCTGCACTATTTACACTTACAAAGTCAACTTTATAAACAAATCATAAAGGCAAATTGGAATAAACGATCGTCTCGCCAACTGCCATTACCCGGTAATGTTTTGATCCCGAGAAAGTGTAACTCGTAAATTATTGATCCGATTCTGGGTACTTTGCCAGGTTACTATTTTAGAACGCAGCCTGGGACAAAAGTATTTCTCTAGAGCGACAGTCGATTTATGCAAAAGCACGATTAGGCATAGTCCGCCACTTCATTTAGCAATTGGGGTGGGCAGGAGAACGTGCGTTGGGGCGTAGGTGCTGGGGTGTCCGCGCTGAGGAAGCGTGGCTGCACCCAGGTCCAGTGGACCCGGCGTCCGCGCCAGACGCCGCCGCCGAGGCCGCCACACTAGCCGCCTGGCGGTATGCCCTCAACCTAACCATAAATCCAACACAATCACGTCTGAGTCATTTAACTCAATCTCCTCCATATCATCATTATAATTTCACCCTGTTTGAGTCCACTGCTGAACGATCACGAAGCACGATCTCGAGCCACCTGCATCCATCGCATCTCTGTACGTAGCAGGACCGGCCAGAAGAGTCAAACTTTTCAGAAGCGGAACAACTGCAAGACGTGGTTTCTCATGATCATTTTCGCTGAGTAATTTTTTGTTGAGCAAACATACTGGCTCAAGCGGATATAGGCTATACTTAAAGTGAAAAGGCCTCGTAGGCGAACGCAAAGTACAGAAGTGTGTTATGTTTCTTCTAATGAGCGAGTTGCGGAGGCCTATAGTTTCAATGATATCTTGTTGTCTTGTTCCTCTTATATAAAATGCGTTCATTACAACTTATTTAAAAAATTTGCTCCATGTGAATATATCTCACCGTGTCGTAATATTAATAGCTCAACGTATACTCGGGATATTAAATCAAGCAGCACTATTGATGGTATAATGTTGAAATTGGGTTTATATAACATTTATTTAGTTTCATTTTACAAGAAAGCAGTGTGTAGAGTTTTGGGAGCAGACGTAGACTGAGGAAAATTAACATTAATTTCAATACAATTTTTATTGCGTCAACAGAAAGCGATTCCGTCACGAGTATTCACATGCATTTCACAATGACACAATAACCAATCGATAGAAGTCCTTACTAAATTATGGGTAGCGACCAGCGTCGAGTCTATAACACACCACCGTTTAACTGGGTGCAGATTCCAAGAGTTCAAGTCAGAGGAAGACCGCGACCCGTTGACCACAGTGGCGATGTACGAATCCCAGAAGCCCCAGGCCAGCGGCTCGGACAAGTGCGAATCCCACGCCCAGCAGTGGGCTCGCGGCGAGATAATGGGCAGCGCGCAGAACTGGGCCCGCTACCTGTCGGACATGCCCGCCAACAAAATGACCCCCATCGATGTCGCCGAGGTCAGTGACATGACCCCTTTGACCTTAACAGCTCTACAGCTCACTTTGAAGTGAACCCTGGTCGCGTCAATTGTGGGGTGATTCTCAGGGGTCAAGTTTTAATGGTCTCTGACGGAGACATCACGAAAACGTAACAGGAGAAAGTATTACACACATTATAGAAGTCTAAGGGTTAGCAAACAAAATAAGTACATTATTTAATAACATGTTGGTTAATAAATTCCTCAGGATCATAATATTATGTACGAGTTTATAAGCTGTTACTTTACTATATGTATAAAGCTTGAATTGGACGGTGATGTTAAGTTGATCGGAGTACAGAAATTCTTTAATTTGAGTTTTTCTCTTTTTATGCCTTGGCACCTTTCAATAAAGTGGGCCCACGTCTACCTCACTCACACATCAGACGAAACGCAGAAGTAAAACACTTCTACTTCACGACGGTCATCCGCGAGGTACGGATCTGCCCATTCATGCAGCAGCGAAGACTGTTGCGTGGCAAAAGTCTTCGCTGCTGCCACGCAAAATATAAGTCTGTTGTCAAGCGGCACATAGTAAAGAATGCCACCAAACCCGACGCGGAATGGCTTGCGACGTCATGGTACTTCGCCGGAAGGAACTGCCCATTTGCAACAGCGGATACTGCTGCGAAGACTGACCACAGCTCGTTCGTTTTTTACGACATCCCAGTTCCCCTGACAAATGTGGGTCACATGCCCGTTGGACTGGATACAGCTACCACAATCCGCATGAGAAATCCGCGGCGTAGTTGCTAAAGTGTTGGTTTCGACGTTGAGGGTCGTAGGTTCGACTTCCACAAAGGACAACCATTTGTGTGTTTACACACATATAGTTTTCGCATCTGGGTGTTTGTCAGGATGATGCTATCCTAAAGTAAATGTTTTTTTTACTTTAAAAAAATCTGGGTCTCAATGACGGATTGGCCTTAACTAACTGGTCGCCCCTGGGCAGGAGGCGTTGCGGGTGCTCTGCCCGCTGGGTATCCAGGTGCAGGTGCGCGAGCGCGAGTGGGCGGCGGCGCAGCGCATGGAGGCCTTCCTGGCGGTGGCCAGGGGCTCCTGCGAGCCGCCCGTGCTGCTCGACTGCTCGTACGAGGCCGCCGGCGGCTCCAAGGCGCCGGTGCTGCTGGCCGCTAAGGGCGTCACCTTCGACTGGTGCCGACCGCTCCCGCCTAGTTGCTAGGGTTGCCCCTTCCGAATGGACCGCACACCATTGGAGTCCACCTTCGACTGGTGCTGACTGCTTCCGTCTAGCTGCTAGGGTTGCCCCTTCCGGATGGACCGCACACCATTGGAGTCCACCTTCGACTGGTGCTGACTGCTTCCGTCTAGCTGCTAGGGTTGCCCCTTCCGGATGGACCACGCACCACTGTTCTGAACCAGCGGAAACGCAGGACGGATCTACTCGTATTTTTGACTGTTTGATGGATATATAAAAAAGATTCCTTCCTCTCGACAATGAATTGTGTTATTAACTAAAATGTATGGCCAATGAATATTCTATCATATATTAACACAGAGAGACGCGTAAATTTGTGTTATTTGATGAGATGGAAACGAGAGACAGTACACCCGATGTTAAGTAAATACTGCAAACAGCTTCACCTTTTGGTCTCTGCGGTGGTGTTAGTTATGACCGGTCGTTTTATTTGGCTCTTTCACATCAATAGTAATTTATCTGTAATGTCAATATTTATTCCCTCTCTTATTTAACGGTGACGCAATGCTAAGAAACTAGTTTCGGTACCGTGGGTCGTGGGTTCGATTTTCACGAGTACTATTACGAACGGAAGATGGCTCCTACTGCTGGTGTTTGTTCCTTGGCGGGCGCGCTATTGTACTGTGGAAAAGTTTGTCAAGAGGGCGTGTGGTTCACCCGTTGCTAAGAGATTACCGCCGCCCGTGGTCATGTACGTTCCCAATCGAGTTGCGTGAGCTCCGGACAATCGTTTCGGATCTGGGTGTTTGATAGCGGCCGTTGAGATAGCCACCCGGCTGCTTCCACACAACACGCAATGTCCGAGCGTAGACGATAAGCAGGCGTGGCGTTTGCAGCGGCGGCCTGTGCCTGAAGAGGCCCGACGAGATGCGCGAGAACCGCGGCAGCATGGCCGGCGCGGCGGTCGTGCTCGCCGCGCTCAAGGCCGTCGCCCACCTCAAGGTCACGCCGCTCTTTTTTATTACACACACACACACACACACACAAACGTTGAAACTGTTTTCTTTTTACTACACACACATACACACATGCGCGCGTGCGCATTCATACAAAGCCGAACATAGATATTGAATCTGTTTCAATCTTTTTTGTTTAACATTTAAATGCCAATCCGTAGTTGACGCGTCGTCGACTACGCACCAATGCCCTCTGTGCAGAGGAGGCCTTTGCCCAGCAGTGGAACATATAGGCTGATATTTTACTTTCATTACTTGTTAACATTGATCAAGCTATAAATATTTATTGTTGTTAATAGGTCCCGATAAACATACGCGCGGTGATACCGCTGTGCGAGAACCTGATCAGCGGCCAGTGCATGAAGGTCGGGGACGTGGTGCGGGCTCTGAACGGTACCACCATACAGGTGAGCCACCAGCACCAAGTTACGAAACATCGGCTTGGACACACAAATTGGAAAAAAATATTAATTATTAAAAGTACAAATAACATGGCATAGACATTTTTACAGTCAATATTACTAAAGTAGAGACGCCAAGAGTTGCTAAAAATGCACAAAAGAAGTAGATGACACGTCAAGATTTCCGCGCCGTGGGGATATCCACCGCTTGGGACAAAAGTAAGGACAAAAACAAATGTTTTGACAATTTAATCACTTTAAGCTTCTGATTTCTTTTTAAGTTATACTTATTTTGGCGCGTTTGGAAAAAATATATGAATAAAATTTTCACGATACGCGTGCAGCCAAGAACTTCACGGTATCACCATGGCATCATCATCATCATTTCAGCCTGTTTGAGTCCACTGCTGAACATAGGCCTCACCCATAGACTGCCACGAAGTACGATCCTGAGCCACCTGCATCCATCGACTTCCCGCATATTTGCACAGGTCGTCACTCCATCTAGTGGGGGGTCGTCCCACACTGCGATGGCCAGTACGAGGCTGCCACTCGAGAACCTTTCTTCCCCAACGGTTATCGGTTCTACGAGATATATGGCCGGCCCATCGCCACTTCAGCTTGCTAATACTCTGAGCTATGTCGGTCACCTTAGTTCTACTGCGGATGTCTTCGTTACGAACTCTATCACGCAGAGAAATACCGAGCATAGCCCGCTCCATAGCTCGCTGAGCGACTTTGAGCTTCCTCATACGGCCAGCAGTGAAGGACCACGTCTCGGTTCCGTAGGTCATCACTGCCAAGACATTGATTGAAGACTTTAGTCTTCAAACATTAAGGTATATTCGACGAGAAGATTTGCCGAAGTTTCCTGAACGCTGCCCATCCGAGTTGGATTCGCCGATTGACCTCTGCGTCGAAGTTGGACTTACCTAGCCGGACTAACTGTCCTAGGTAAACATACTCGTCAACAACTTCGAGTTCAGTGCTCCCAACAACAACCGATATAGGCGTGACATGGACATTAGACATGATCTTAGTCTTGTCCATGTTCATCTTAAGGCCCACCCGTTGGGAGACACTGTTGAGGTCATTGAGCATAGCACCCAGGTTCAGCTATTCTGCCATGATGACTATATCGTCGACAAATCGAAGGTGGGTGATGTATTCGCCATTGATGTTAATACCTCATCCTTTCCAGTCCAGAAGCTTGAAAACATCTTTCAACGCAGCGGTGAAGAGTTTCGGGGATATGACATCACCCTGTCTTACACCCTTCTGCAGTTGGATAGGTTTTGTACTACTGGACTGTACTTGGACGGACATCGTAGCCTTGTTATACAAACACCGCAGCACTTCGATATACCGACAGTCAATTTGGCATCGCTGAAGAGCCTGGAGTACCGCCCAAATTTCGACAGAATCGAAGGCTTTCTCATAGTCCACATACGCTAGGCACAAAGCTTGCACCACGGCAACCAATAAGAATTTTTGACATTTACCTATAATTGCGTAAATGTCAAGAACACACACGTTATCTTAAACTATAACTAGTACTAATGAATCCTCTTCCGCCCTAAACCGCGAATAGTATAGTCGTTCTTACCGATCGGTGTCTTATGGTGTCAATGGTCTGTTCAGATCGAGGACACGGACATGGAGGGGCGGCTGATGCTGGCGGACGCCCTGGTCTACGGCCAGGCCGCGTACCGACCCTCGCTGGTGGTGGACGTGGCCACCCTAACGCGTGAGTAGCGGTTTTCTCCAGGACATTCGTCGGCGGTGATCCAAAGAGCATTCAACGTCATCCATACAGCTTGCCGATAGGTTATAAGATTCAAAGCTTGCGATAAGGTTCAAAGATACACACAGTAAGCTTAGGAGCCACTTGCATTAATAGACTTCCGGGAAAAGGGTTGCTTTTTTTGTTATTTATTTTTTTGTTATAAAAGAATTTGAGAAGATGTCATTGTAATTTTTTTTATATTTTGTTTATTACTCGTTATGTTGCCAGTACTTTGTTATTCATGATTTTGTATTACTCCGTCGAAATCTAAACGAGGGTTCGATTCCCGCGCACGCGAAAAGCTCTTCGTCCATTTTTCTACAAATTTTAACAATCGAAGAAATTTCAGATAGAGGAAAAAAAAGCAATTGGCGTTATAGAGAGTTAACGAAACGGTTCTTTGAAAGAAATTAAAATCATCCAAATTATTTGGCGGGAAATGCAGCAAATTGTCAACAGAACCACAACCTTAACGTCCGAAAATGTTATCCGCGTAACGTTGTCATCGACCCAGTCGAGGAAGGGGAGGAAGTGTTCTGGATCCATAAGGATTAGGTACTGCTAGGCAACGCTGTTCGTGCATATAGTGACAGCGTATATTAATATATAAATACTTTAGCTTTATGGACTCACGGGACAATTTCCAGAACAAGAGCCATTTAAATTTCCGTTATATAAGCAGAGAAAATGGTAGAGGCACGTAGTTTCCCCTGTTGCAAGAATGGGCAGGTCCACCAGGGAAAGCAGCACGACCTCACATGAAACCGGCATGAAGAGGAAGTGTTACACTTCTGTTTATCATCAGGCGAATGAGGTAGCCGGGGCCCACTATATTACGGGGTGGCAACGCATCTGCAATCATACGAGTGTTGCAACTGTCCATGGGCGGCGGTTATCACTTAAAATCAGGCGAACCGCTTGGCTCCTCGCATGAAAGGAAACCACGAGTGGGGTGGAGTAGTGACGTCGCTCTGATCAGACGGCGTGCTGCTGGCCACCGGCGGGGGGGCGTTCGGGTGCTTCGGGCGGGGCGAGGGGGCGTGGCGCGCGCTGCAGGCTGCCGGCGCCGCCGCGGGCGACCGCCCCTGGCGGCTGCCGCTCTGGGACTACTTCCAAGGCCAGCTAGTGGGTCAGTGCACTGCTCCCAGCCAAGCACGCGCACTCCGTACACATGTCTCCACAGTCATTCTTTCATATCGTTACACTCGCGCCAACAGTATACATATTTACACAATTCACAAAAAAGGAATGGAATGGAAGAAATGTTATCATTCTTTTTTGAGTCAAAGAAAACAAACTTAACATCCCACAGCCCTTTCAAAGGTCACTGATCATTTAAGTGACCTGTTATGCTACCATGAATAACTTAGATATATTGTTATCACAATGTTTACTTAGGTAAATTGATGTTTTTTAGTGCATACATGTCTGAAAACACGGATTTTAGCAAGAACCTGTGCACCTCATCGGCCTACAGTCGAATTTTTAAGTAAAAGAAATACTGGAGTACTTTATCATCTCCGTGTATTTTGTTCATTACTACTGCTAATCAATTTGTTTATTTTCTCGTGAAATGTGCAATGATAAAAAAAGGTAAACTTTTTTGTGACTTTTTACTCAACCAGGAAGTATTTACCGTTAAAAATAACTAAATAATGACTCTTGGTGTACGCCCGGACATTCTGATGTAATTTAAGACAATTCCTATTTCGGTGACATCTTAAAATTATTGACGAAAAATATAAATTTATTTAAGTGGTTATAATACTACAGTAAAACGAGGATCTAAAGCGATCAGTAGTATATGGAATGATCTTCAATGAAAAAGTACTTTTAGAACCGACTAACGTGCAATAGAATGAGATTTGAATTCGGGGTCTTTAAGCACAGTAGGCAGGTGTGTTCTGGTTACTGTGCCATTAGATATGCGAGTACATCCATAGTGATTCGCAGATGACCCATCCGTGGACCTGAGGAACAAAGGTTCCGGCACGGCCACACCGTGCCTCGGCGCAGCATTCCTGAAGGTGAGATTTAGTCTACTTCCAACATACTTATACTGAGCCATTCAAAAATAACTAGGCCCTTAAAAAGTAACCATGTCTATTTATATGAAAAGATGTTAGATGAATATGAAATAAGAAATTGCAAAATACGATGTGTTTTACGTTGCGCCCGCACGACAGTCAAAAGCGACATGATGAACTTGGTTGCAAAGCGAAGTTTGTCGGTATTACCATGACAACCAATAACAACGTTTTTATAATTTCAAGTTATTTAATTATACCGTTATCGATTGCATTTAATGTATTTTCCATCAATAAAGAGTACTGGCACAGGTGATTGAAATTTTCAGTTATTTTTCTTTTGTCACGCTAAATAAATATAACCTCTTACGTGCGTAAAAGTGTACACATAATTTCTCATATGTAACTAGTTCACAAATATGAACTTTTACTCACAATGTACGCCATGGTAACACCGTTCAGTCGGTATCGCGCACCGTAATAATTCACTGCAATTACTTCTCCCCAACGAACCGTGAACGCTGTAAAGGTCGGGAATTAAAACAAAAAATAAACGTGAAAAATCCGTAAACGTAGTTTCATTTAGTAATGTCTGATCGCGTAGGTAAATACAAGAAATTATTTTCTCAAACGGTTCAAAAGTATAACTCCACAATGTGGGCCCGCAGAACTTCGTGTGCGGCGAGTGGCTACACCTGGACGTGACCGGCGTGGGCAAGCTGGCCCACGCGGTTGCCCCGCCCTACCTGCACCGGCGGCGGATGAGCGGCCGCCCCACCAGGACCCTCGCCTACTTCCTAGACCGCCTGTCCCACAGCCAACAGGAGACTAAGGCCTAAGACTTAGACCATCCCCATACGATGCACCAGCCCCAATCCTGACCAGTGCCACCACTGCGCGTTTGAACCGCAATAATATTTCATTAATAGCATTAAATTGACCATTTTCTCTGGTACACTCTATAAAATACAACGTGTCTATCGTTTAAAAAGTCCTACATGACAACGGTTTTTAAAATTACTTAACATTATATTTTTACATAGGAAAAATAGTCTAAATTACTCGCCTTTTCTTGGTACACCTTTGAAAACGTCTAAATTGACGAAGCCCTTTGAGCACGTGACTCTTGGACCACATCTACAAAATCTTGTTCGATGTTTTGTAAAAAATATCAGTCGATAACAATTCAATTCAATCTTGAAATAAGACTGTTCGGTAAGATTTTCATTATTGAATTTGTTTTTTTTTATATATTGTTATGAGTTTTACATTTGTTTGTTACTGTTTGTACTGTAATATAATTTATATCAGAATAAATGTGAGAAATGAGATTGTTTTTTGTTTTTGATAATCGTGATATGATGACTATAGCTGGTCCTAGGTGTCCATAGAGACGAGTATGCTCGAACAAATAAATTCTCTCTATTTTATCTAATCTGTATTTTGTACTTTCCGCGCTTTTTCGTTTGTTGAATTTTAAATTAATTTGAGGATTTTACTAATATATTATACAATTCAAACGTATACGAATCTGTACTTTATGGGTTGTCGTGTCGATTTTATTACCCAGAAATTCCGTTGCGATTAAATCTGTTGCATTTTCCTGAATTCTAAGAATAAAGCGCCGGTCTCCAAATCAATATGGTTTACCTGTGGGGTGACAAAGCTCACCCACCATGTGTCATAAGCCAAATTTATCAAATTAGTGGACCACTAGGAACCGTGAACAAGTTTATTATAAAGTGTTTAAAACGTTGGAAATTAAAAATAATGAAAATTGAGGTGAACTATTATTTGTATATTTAAAATCAAACGAAATAAATGAAATTTATATTCTGTAACTTATTGCTGGCGAAACTAAAAGGAAACTTTAATGTTTGGCAAAGTAAGTCTGAGCAGCATTATTTACAGAAGGTAAGGTTGAGTTCTTAGTTAAGTAGATTTTATTTTTAAAATCTTTATGTTCGGTCTTAAATACTCTGTGACGTTATTGAAGCAGCCAAAGCACGATTTATTTTCTTAGTATCTTTTACTAAAATATGAAAGTGAGGACGTAGATGCACATAGACACTTTAGTCTGTAACACAGTTGTAAACTATCACAGGCTACAGGGCTTGTAATGATTACATGTTTTTCACTTTTTTGTAACCAATAAACTCATTATAATTATTATACATACATAGCTAGCTAGATATGCATTTGAATTTGGAAAATAGTCCTGTGGATTTTTTTTTAAATAATAATAACGCTATCTACCGAATAATTGACAAACTTCTTTGATTCTATCTCAACGTATGCGTATGCCTAGAGCGAGCAGCCATCTAAGCGAGCCATAACGATACTTACACTTGTTTTATTGAAAGAGTAACAGTTAACTACCTACCTCTAACGAAGTATACTCGTTTATCACTGGAGAGTAATTACCTAAAACCTGCTTGAGCGATTAGATAAGCATTCCACTTAACGTAGATATCTAAAACTTTAAGACCGATATCAATTTGTCAACCTCCTGTCCTCAATTATTTTTCGATTTTTAATATCCATCTATCACAGCGACCAGCGACGCCAACCATTAATTAAATTGTTAAATAAACTTCTGACATTATGAGGAAACTACATTAGTTAATAACAATAAAAAAATCGAAGGTATGTGAAGTCTGCCAATCCATAGTGGAGTGATGATGGTGGACTACTCTCAGAGGCCTTTACTGTACTTTTATTGCACGTTTCCTAATCTCGATCTTGAAATTCTAAGATAACCATTAATTATTTTAAAAAAAAAATTGGCATATCACAAGACGGTTGGATGGAACAACTATTACCTTGCGTAGAAAATCAAAAACTTCACATAAGTGATGAATTTGTGCTGCTATCACTAGCATTGATAGAAAGCATAGAATTAAAAAATAATAAAAAAAACGACGTGATATGAAATAACTTATTTAGTTCTAATTTCAAAGACAATATTGGATTTAATAGACTATACATTGAGTAATGGTTCAGCAACTGAGGTAAAAATCATAAATTTAAACTTTCACTGAATTATAGTAAATAGCAAGGATATTCCCATTTCTCAGAAAACTAACAAATTATTAGCTTTGATAGGCCATCGACGTTTAAATTGTTGTTGTAAAAAAGATTCTAATACATCATAGGCCAGAATATACAAAGATTAAAAAAAACTTTTTTGGCTTGACTCGGAAAATAAATTGTAAATGCTAATTAAATGAATTGCTATCGAGGAATGTATCAATGTTTATTAATAAAAGAAACAAGATTCAATTCCGAAGGCATTTACCATTATTCGATCGAGTACATTTGAAACATGCTGTGGTGATTTTTTTCCGCTTCTTAATGACTGACGCGGCCAGGGGCGCGAGTTAATTGGCGCGCTAAGCTTATGATAATATATTACATCACACCATGATGAGCTCAGCGTCGACTATTAACTAGCCGTTGTATTTTCAGCGGATGTAAACAGCCGTTGCAATAAACTTATCACAACTGAGTCATGTGCCTTGTATTATCCTGTTGTCATACTGACTTCCTAGTTTAAAACTACATTTCATAATACCTACTTAATTATTTAAATGAGAATATATATATTTATGAGTTTCTTGCCGGTCTCTTCTCAACAGAAACTGCTTTCCGAACCGGTGGTACCTTAAGAACCTATATAGGTACATAATTTTTGATGTAAAATTTGACGATTCATAAGAGTGCGCAAGCGTCTATTTGGATATAATTTTGATTTTGAATGAAATAAATTTGGATTAAAAGGCATTTATGTCCTCCAACAGTTTTATGCAGTATCGAAGAATTGGGTGAACCGTAAGTTATATATTTTTAAAATTAAGACTAAAACGGTGTAAAGACATTAGTACTTTCGAAGGCATCAGGTATCGGTTAACTGTAATTAATCGTTTTTTTAAAGCGTATCATTAATAGGTACGATATGGCTTATTAACAGGTTTTACATAATTAACGCACGAATTTATTATCATACACAGTCTATATATAACAGTAACGTCCAATTCATTATGATTCTCCTACTATTATAAATATTTAGAAGTGTAATAAATTGAAAAAAAATATAGATATTTTTGATTTTATGAAACATAGCGTAAAACAGAAAACAATAGTAGATGGAGTATGTTTCATGAACATAAGCTACGCGGACGACATGGTACTGCTAACCGCATCGATCTGTGGGCTCAGGAAGTTGCTGTGTATCTGTGAGCTATGCGGCTGAACATGGGCTGATCTATAATGCCAAAAAGACACTGACTGTGTATGGTCTTTAGGGGTGGGTCGAGAAGTTACTGAGAGGTGCCACCTATTAACGCCACCCCATTATGCGCAAAACAGCGGTCTCTTTGCTGCAGCGCCTTCGTACTAGTGGCAACAGCATTCTGAAAATGATGGCTGACAGACCTGACTGTCCTTTCCAGCAACACTGGGTGGCAGTTGCTATAGGTCTGGCAAAATAATAATTCGCAAATTGTTTATAATACTTTACCTAGATTTAAGTCACAATGTTACTTACAAATACTAACAAAATATGGACAATGTACTTAATTTTGTGTATTGTCTGAAATAAAGATTATTATTATTATTATTAAGCCGAGTGGAATACAGTTAGAACAGGTTGAAGTTTTTAAATATCTAGGTCACTTAGTAACACCTGCCCTGAGGGACGACGCAGACGTTAAACGGGAACGAAGGTCGATCAGTGCTAATATGGTGATCCGTAGGTTTGCAAGATGCTCTACGGATGTCAAGATTACTCTTTTTAGGCCCAACTGTAATGATTAATTTGTAATATTTGGGACTTTTTTTTTCTTTTTGTTTTTTTAATACGATAAAATGTAATTTTAAATGTGGATGTATTAGTCTTAGTAACTTGAAATAAATGATAATAATAATAATAAAAATAGTTTGATCACCTCAAAGGCCACAGTTAGAAGTTTGTTGTAGCTGGTGTTGAAAGAAAGAAAGAAAGAAAGAAGAAATATTTATTCGGCGCATTACATTACAGGAAAAAAAAAGAAATAACATTAGAATTGTAAAAATGTATGCACCAAAAAGGTCTCCGCTCAGTATATTGCCCTGGCAAACAATACCACGGCACTGGTTTTCTGCGGATACCTTGTAAGATTGGCGTTCAGCTCCATGCATACAGCCAACAAAAATAACAATGAAATAGACTAAAAACAATAAAAAAAAGAATATAAAAGTTAGGAACAATAAAATCAAAAATAAAGTATAACAAAAAAAAAAAATTATTAACAAAAACTATAACATATCCTCAACACAATGCGAGTACCTATATACCTATGAGAGCTGAATTGTCTGGGTGCAACTTTATATACATATAGTATATTTATAATACTTATAATATATATAATATATGCAGACAGCGATCTGATCGGTTTTACTCCGTCTTTTGCAAATGAAGTAGAAACTTTTTGTATTTTGCTTTAAAGATATGTAAAGACGAAGAGTTTCTTTCTAATAGGTGTTGGGATGTTATTCCAACACTTTGTGGCGGAGTATCGAAAGCTTCCACGGAAAGCCGCAGTACTAAAAACAGGGCATATAAGACGGTCACAAAGTCGTGATTGGCGTTGTGTAAATTTTAACTTGCCATAGAGATATGATGGACTTTGTTTATTTATTACCCCGAAAATTAAGGAAGCAAAATGTAGTGCTCGCCTTGACCGCATATTCAACATGTCGCTTCGATTAAGGTACGGTATTATATGAGACCGGCGTGGAATTGGAAAGCAAAAACGAGCACAGGAATTTTGAACTCGCTGAATGTTTTTTTGTACGCTCTAGTAAGCACCCAGCGATGACTGTATCTGCGTAATTTAATTTTGATAGTATTAGGGACTCGCAGAGATGGATCCGCAAGTCTAGGAATTGACGTATTTGGTACAGCACTTTTAGCCTATAATAACATTGTTGGACTATATTTATAACACGACTTTCAAATCTGAAATGATTGTCAAGTAGTACACCTAAATTTCGAACTTCTTGAACTTGTTCAATTTTGTCATTTCGTACTTTTATCTGTGGTTTAAGAGCAGTTATTTGGTTTACTTGTGCTTTGGTACCTAAAACAATAAACTTTGTCTTTGTAGGATTCAGAACAAGACTGTTAGCTTGCGACCACTCAGCTATTCGGTTAAGATCTTCGTTAATTTGAGTAACAGTTGTCCCTACTTACTAGGCTTCAAAGGTTTATAGATTTGTAGGTCATCAGCATATTAATGATGCTCACAATTCAAAATATATTTCGGTAGGTCAGCTGTATATAAAATAAAAAGGATTGGCCCGAGTATAGATCGTTGTGGAACTAATAATAATGTTCTGTTTCAAGTGGGAATTGCATTTATATTGCATGCGGTTAATTAACTGGAGAGTTTGAAATATTGTAATAATTTAATTAGGTTAGCCAATAATGTTTGTACGGTATTGTTTATTGTTACACAATCCATGTTAGCTTGCCCAAATTTTGTGCGTTATGAAGACGGTTTTCTCGCAGTCGTGTGCACACATGTTAAAATTTTGGTTCGGTTTCTCGCAGTCGTGTAATGTTCTCTTTACGCATTCACTGTTGTGTGTTGAAATAGGTTAAAACCAAAATGATAATAAACGCATTTTAGTTTATGGCAGCCTGTATTTTAGACACCAAGCAATTTTTTTTCACTTCATTCATTGTGAAATCTTCTAAAATTCGTTCAGCATTTTGAAGTCAAAGTATATTAAATACATGTTAAATTATGGTCTTAATAATAGAACTTTGTACTAAGCCTAATAAAACAAGTAGTTGGTTTTGTGGGGGGTGTGAAATGAAACACCGATACTTATTGACCTAAAAATGAAGAAACATTTATTTTCAGTATGTCTTTTGTAAAATTTAATAACAGAATGAATTAAACGTGGTAAGAGATAACAGAGCGGAGACTTCCATTCGATAGAATTAGTTTCACCAACAATAGAAATATAATATTCATCAAGTCATTTACAGAATACAATACAATAATGCAGTACCGATAAATCTAATTTATTCGTTTACCGAGTTAGTTACGATTTCCAAACATCCATAATTGTGAATCAATGTACATAGAGGGTGGGACGCGCGGGCGCGCTAGCTACGGCCATAGTGGAAAGAAACTTTGATTATATTAAATACTTTACTCGAGGCGACGCCGTTTGGATCGATATGGGATCGTCACACCGCGCGCCTCCAATCTCGTAAACGGCCCGAACTCGAAGAGGAGAGAAGGTTTACAATGAAAACGTGTCCGGGTGGCGATGCGCTGATGGGCGCGGCGCAGCAGGCAGACACGCACACGCACGCACACATACATAATTATACAAACGCCGACGAGGCCGACGGAAATGTACACAAATATAAATTATTATTATTATTATGAGCCGACACGAACCCGAGATATACCATCACATCGCGGCGCAGTCCGCCGCACTTGCGCTTGCTTGCTTGCTTACACAGTTACATTAACGGAATACTTTAAGTCTAAGAGAGAGGGGGCCGGGGGGGCGGTCGGGGAGGGGCGGGGGACAATGCGACCCCCTCCCCCTCCCACGCCCACCCCCGCGACCCACGCGCGATACACGATACAATTATACCATTAAAACTGAAACGATGACAATATTTAATTTATCGCAAACACTAGAGAAATGCAGGTCCAATACGATGGTAATATTGTGTGTCATGAAACAAAATGTATATTTAAATTCTCTGCTTTTTACACACACACTAGCCGGCGGCTCACTTCGACGTCATCATGGTGACGAATTCTGGAAGCAAAGAGAGAAAGGGTACATAGATTAGTTGTAAGTTCGCCTCGAATAGTCGATATTACCCTGGCAAAAACATGTCTAGAATACGAAACGTGAAAGTATAAAACAGCAGTAACGTCGACACAGAACAGTAGTAACCGACAGAAAGAGATGCACTATTAAACAGATACCTGTTATAGACAGTGATAACCAGCTAGGTAATATGTTACACAAACGAGCTGAGAGTGGGACACCAAACAAATGCCTGCGCGCTCCTCGCCCGAGGCATTTACTTGATGGTATACGTACACACACACAAAAAGAGATAGATAGAGAGGTATAGACCAGAGGAAACCGTCGTCATGCCACTACAGAGACGGGAGGGGGGTTCAGGCGAAATACCACCGCGGTCCGGTTTGCCGCTCGTCGCCGGGGGAGGCACAAACACAAAGCAATTGTACAGCGGGAGCGGGAGCGAGACAGCGCTATCGAGCCATCGCCTGGTGGTATTTCCAAACGAAAAACTTCTATACATGTAGTATTAGACACATGCACCGATCTACAGCAGGAGGTCCTGCCGCTAAGAGCGGGCCGCAACGCGGTTTTGGGGACCGGGTTGCAGCCGCTCGGGAAGCCGAGGGGCACAAGAGACGTGCTTTGGGTTTGGGGTTCGTGACCAGGCAGACAGCGGATGGTGGCGATAGGAAGGTGTCTGGTCCTGTGGGTGTTCGGGGGGAAGGGAGGGGGGCCAGGGGGCGGCTAACATGTCCAAGGAACAGTTAATAACGAGCGGCAAACCATTCAGAAACACTGTCAGTACCTAGTGGCGTACCGCGCTCCACGTGGGCCATTTACACACACTACTAGGGGCAAACGTTTCCTAGATCACACAGCGCTATTGCAGGGGTCTGATTTCTCATTTGTTAGTGACTAAGGTAACGGATATGCACAGCGCTTGGCCGCGACGAGCTAACGGCTGACGTCGCCGCGCGCGAATACGATTTGCGCGAGGGCGTGGAAGTCTGCAAGAGAGAAACGCCCGGTCGGTTGAGACTGTCGCTTGGCAGCGGGGTCGCCGAGGCCGGTTCCGATCGGGTACGTGCACGATTCCAAAAGTACGGCGTAGCGGGTACTCCGCAACGGGGGAGGATGAGAAAGGCGGAGAGCGCTGACAGACGATTGTTAGCGCTCAGTGAAATCACTTTTGGGTTCTCATCCCGTTCCCTTGGGACTAGTAAACGCCACACAATCAAATCAATGCGACAAAAACTCGTAAAGTGGTTCCATAAAACGTGTAGTGTTCGCTTGTGTGGAAGACATCATTATACTAGTGATAGTTGACCAGTAGAATAAGAGAGCAGCTACAGCGCCGTCCTTCCGCAATCGTAGCAAATATCTGAATAGCCGTATTGGAATTTGCCCAGAAGCGACCTGGCAACCCCGCGACGAGCGTGGCCCGCCGCCCACTCGTGTTGCAAATGCATTATTTAGTTAAAGGGTAAATGAAACTGTTATATCAATAGTTTCGTGGAGCATTTTAAAAGAACTACGTTATGCGTCTTCCTCGGTTTTACTCGCATGCATGAGACCAATACCCAATGAAATGGAAGATTTGAGAGACGCATGCAAAGCTACTACTACATTGTCCCGTCGTTTTGGCAAGGGTAATTTTAAAAATATAACATAATTCGGATAACAGACGAGGGGGAATCATGGATCTATTTATATGGAAGAGAATTATTTCATCCAATTCAGCAGTATAAAGATGGACACCACATACGCTATAAAGTACTTATTTTAAGAATGCGGGTATAACAAGGTTTTCTCTTCGGCCGCAAGTCATGAATAGTTTATTATGTCAACAGCGACCGGTTCGAAAGTCTCTAGCAGCGATGAAGTCTCACTTCTAGGAAACTGTTTAATACCTTTTACACGTTACACGATTGCCCATATTTTATTGTACAGTCCTTATCTTTAGCGTTTCAGTGGCAACAACTATATCTATTATCATGGGACTAATCTCCTCTACGGCAATTTTTTAGCTCGACGACAAATTTGCTCAAGATACTGCCGACCTTGACGGCGTTCCCAACTAGTCTCATTAAACATTTGTCGCTTTGTGATAAGTTCGATATTTCTTTCATCGAAGTTTACAATTTACGTGGGCCTACCAACGTTTCGTAGATGACTGAAAATAATACTTTTAAAGAGGTGAAACGTTTCATCTAGGTGATTGACTGGACAGAGCCCGTCGCCCGATTGTTCTATTATAGTACACGAGTATCATTTACAAGCAGTGAAAGCGGCCTGTCCATAAATCAAGTGTAGAGTAAACAGGGTAGCCGGTGTGCGCTTGATTTTTAACGGTGAGAATTTCTATCGTTGACTCTACGCAAAATGAGTCTGGAGCTTTCTACGAGGAAACCGTTGCACTGTAGCCAGAATATACCATAAGAATTTTATTTTCTTATATAAAAAGGTCTATCCCATTATCTATATTATTGTGCTAAGTCTGGACAAAACTTAAAGGTGTAAGATTATCTTAATGTAGCGGATAGTTAGATGTAACGTGTCCTGTCTTAGAATTACATAGTGTGTGGTTTATGCTGCAATGCTTTTCAATGGTCAGTTACTACTTGTATCTTAGTTTCCAAAAATGATTTGAGGGTGGATTTATGCAAAAAATCAACTAGCGATAAAGATCATTTGATTAAAATATACACGGGAGCATGATAAGGCGCCTGTCTACTAGCTACTGATGAATATCTTATATGTATCATTCTTTTCTTTTCAGTCACTACTAATGTTCTGCTCTCAGAAAGTTCTGCACATAAACAGCCAGCCAAATGTTTAGTCGCGCTTGTTATATTGTATATATTAAGAAATATTCAATAATAGCGAAACATGTCTGTGTATGGCCGAGAGTACCGCGAGTTTACCTAAAACATCTAGTAAGGTGTTTTAGGTGAACTTTTAATTTATTCTTCTAATTCTTATAAATTCGAGTGGATCTTTTAACGACTTATATAGCTTGTCCACTACACCTATTACAGTGGGGGGCTTAAACTGCTCTTCCCAGACTATACGATTCCAGCGATAAGTGTATCAAAAATTACCCAGAATCGACACTGACAGTAAAAATCAAATATCTTGTATCGAAGACGGAGAAGAGAGTTTAAACGCCCAGTTAACAAGGTAACGCCCAGTGCACAAAGCACAGAGGAAACGAGGAGGGAAAGAGACAGTAAGAGGGGTCAAACAAGGACGGCACTCACCCTCGTAATTGACCTGGCCGTCGCCGTCGATATCCGCCTCGCGGATCATCTCGTCGACCTCCTCGTCCGTCAGCTTCTCGCCGAGGTTGGTCATCACGTGGCGGAGCTCCGCGGCGGATATGAACCCGTTGCCGTCCTTGTCAAACACGCGGAACGCCTCGCGGATTTCCTCCTCGCTGTCGGTGTCCTTCATCTTGCGCGCCATCATCGTGAGGAACTCGGGGAAGTCTATCGTGCCGTTGCCTGGAATGGGGACGGGACAGTTTGAGTAAAGTTAACGATTTAAGTAAACAATCATTACCACTTGGGCATCGCATGGGAGTCTTACTCGAGGATGTAGTATACTTTGGTGGTATTTGCTTTTTTGTTCAATACATTAAAACCTAATTATATTTTTAACTTGTGATAAATTAGAAATTTAATCAATTAAACACGTAATTTCGATTCGGAGAAACATCTCGATTCATACTTTAATATTATAAGTGCGAAAGTAACTCTGTCTGTCTCGCTTTCACGCCAGAACTACTGAACCGATTTAAATGAAATTTGGTACACAGATAGTCTAGAACCTGAGAGAGAACATAGCATTTTTTAATTGGAAAAAGTGTTGTAAAGGCTTTTTTTCAAGAAAGATATTTATTTAAGAGCTTCAAAGTGAGCGAAGCCGCAGGCGAAAAGCTAGTATTGTATAAACCATCGGTATAAGATACGTGACCTACGACGATTCGATTGTTAACTGATTGTGGAATGTCTGTTTGCTCTTCATTGTTACGTTAATTTTGTTTGTTCAAAGAAAATGAAAAACATTTTAATAACATTCAAAACTAGACAGCAGAGGTAATAGAGATGGGGTTTCGCTAACCAAACGCGAGATTTTACATAAAGTTTCGCAGATGTTCCGCCGACATTGCTTCCGGGAATAATGGACCATGCGGATCAAAAGAGATTTCGCTGTTTACCTATCGCCATCAAAGACAGGCCCAGGGACGGTGGTCGTCGAACGAGCTGGAGATTAATGGCTTCGCCGACGGGCCGCCGAAGCTATTGTAATTTTAAATCGGGGCGTTTGATCGTTTTAATAGAGGGGAATGGTCGAATTACGCGCTTCAGACGTTTTAAATTGCGATAGTTGCATAATCACGGTATAGTTTTGACAACTATGGCTCCAAACGTTTGTTTACGTATACGGCGGTATTTGTTTATGAAACAAATAACAATAATAAACAATCAAACGATCCGTCGTTCACGCAAAATCAAATATCGTCGTCGGTCGCGATACACAATACGTTGCGCTTACCAAACACTATTTCAGTTGTTGCGCTGAATGCAAATTGTCAGATGTCAATTGCAATGTAGGGCCGCAGCCGTTATGAAATAGTTATTAATAGAATGTTATGATGCACATTGACTGCCTCAATTTGTTCAGAGGTTACAAAATAATCTATATATTAATACGTGAAGCAAAAACTTTGTACAATTTTTACGAAAATTGCGCGGACGGAGTATGAAATGTCCTACTCTTGTAGTTTAAATAGAGGAGTGCAGAATGTTAATATATTTTTTAAAATGATACATAAAAATACTACTTACTTATGTATGTAATACTAATTAATTATGTTCTAATTATGTTGTAATATATACTCAAAAGATTCCGACTGAATATTATCTATCCTTTTTAGTTTTAGTAGCGTATCTAGCGCTGTATTTTTTGCCGTGCTAATCGAAAACCAACCGGTGACATTGCATTAATTTTTTTTAAATGAAAATGTATATGTATGTATGTTATGACTTAAGGCCCAATAATGAAACTGTGACTTATACGCACAGCGGATCGGCGAAGCGCGATCTCGATAAATCACAAACAATACATGTCTCATTACAATGTCGTAAAATCGATTGACACGGCACAAGGGGCACAGCGATATCGTTTTAATATCAAGACCACGGTCAAAAGCTGCCGAGGTTAATACTTCATACGCGTTGCGTGAAAGCAAGTTGCTAAAAATGGTGCATGCGGTTTAAATTAAACAACGCAACACTACAAGCTCGGCGAGGCTGTTTTGCAAATAGTCTCGTTTGACATTTCCTTCGGTGCGATCGTCGCCGTTTTTCCCGTGGAATCCGTTGGCACAATGTGCACAACACCGACACGGCCGAACCGTAAACAACTCGTTAAGCGTGATGCGTGCAAATTGACACGCGAGATATTCGAGCGGTGCGCTTCCGCCGTACCGGCAAACAACAGGATAAGAGTGAGCCCGTGGATAACGTGGCCTTGAAATGTAAGACGGGTGAGGTAAGCGGTGGTACATTCTCTGCGTTGATCGCACACTAAGTCTCCGTCGTGTGTTCACGGGCGGCGGTCTTATCTTGCCATCATGTGAATCCCTCCCCGCTCGATTGTGAGCAATTTAATATTTCAGAACATATTATTACACGGCTTAAACTAGACCCAAACTATGCAAAACCTAGTAACTAGTTATGTAGTACATAAACGTACTTTTGCTTTTGTAAATAAATATATATTAACACCCAGACAAATGAGGTTTAACGCAGCACTGATAACAAGGCAAGAACATCATTAAACACAGAGAGAAGGGCCGGACTCTTCAAGGATGCGACACACGACAAAATCGTACCGTGGAATGAAACGACACAGCACCATCGGACCAATTAGGTTTGGACATACACCTTACTTTCCCCGGGGCATGCCACTTCCGGTCGGACATATTTCTGGCTTTTTGCAAGTCATCGTGTCGCGGGCGTCCTTGGCAACTTTTCTGTTCCTCACTCCGTCCGGCGCAAGCATCGTCTCGTAAAGAATTAATTATTCGCCGAAGCGATGCAGAGTGACCCACAAACGACAGGTGCCCGCGCCAGGAACGCGAGACTTTACGACACTAAATGTGTCGCGGCGTAAAGGACTAATGGCTTCTCTTAATCGCTTTATTGGCACCATTAATAATTCACCGTCGTCGTAACCGTTTGCAAATTTATTTCTACAGCAGAGTGTTAAGTCGCGCGCGAACATTCGACTCGGTGAGCCCTCACCGAGTTAGGACCAGTGAAAGGGAGTATCTTCTTGTCATAAAGATAAAGTAAAAGAAAAATAGACATTTAGCGACAATGTTGACATCATTATTCGATTTGGATAGAATTCTGACGTAAGTATATGATATATAGCTAATGTCAAATACCTATCGCTAGTAATGAAATATATCTATAGATACAATATTGAAACCGGCCGTAAGAGAAATGACATTCCACGCATACGTTTTACAGGCACGCCTTGAATCCAAGATTAAATTGTACCTCATTAGGGTTGACGATTTATCATCTTCACTCCTATGTTGTAAATGTACCTGTCGAGTATGTCGCTAGTTCTTAGTGTGGCAAACAAACCGTCGGGTCCACCGGGAGTCGGGCACACCCCTAGCCGGGTGGATTCCCGCCGCCGCGGGTTGAACGCCCCGCGGGCCGGCGTCGCAAAAATAAGCTTGCGCGCGCGCGAGTTTAACTTTGGCGCATCTAATTCCGGTTGCAACCTTTCGCTGCCGCCGCCGCTATTTATAGCGACCGGGGAACGCGCCGCTCGATTCCCCGGCCGCGCCCCACTTGCTCCAGTTAAGCACCTGGACATCACTTGGCAGGGTCCAGTGCGTTGTCTGCACACGGCTACTTTGGCCGGAACGGAATCATTGTATAATGTTGCGTTCAGACCTTTTGTTTATCGAAATTCTCAGTTTAAAACAGACAAACTCTCCGTCTTTAGAACTCAATGGGATAGACTGTGCTAGACGGTGCTTTGCACTAGTCAGAACTAGCAATTATCATAAACTATCGGTCACCAGGGCCGCAAAAATGCAAGTCATTGAAACCCAGTAGGTGTGCTCAAAGTGGGTGCATGTCCTATCATGCTTGGCCGAAACGTCCACTTTTTGCCGTAAAACTTTGGTTTTGAAGCGCGACAACATTCATTTTTTATTTGAGTAGGTGACAAGCGAGCAGGCGGTACACGTGATGTTAAGTGATAACATCACGTGTACCGCCCGATTTGCAACACCCGTAGGATTGCAGAGGCGTCGGCACTTTTTAATAAACTGGGCTCCGGACACCTCACTCATAAGGTGAAACGCATAAGTATAACACTTCAACTATACGCCGCCCATTTGTGCAACAGCGAAGACATGACCCTACCACAGAAAATCGATCGCTATTCAATTGCATTGCATATTTACAGCAATTGAATTTGCAATTCAATTGTTTTGTATTGCAATAAACGGTAGCGGAGTTAGAAGAGGAGCGGGGAGGGGGGGAGGGGAGGGGGGGGGGGGAGCAGCTCGATGTGCTGCTTAATGAGAGTAATAAAACAAACACACACTCAAAGGCCTGTTCAAATTCGAGGCATAACGCGCCATTATATTCGCGCAAACAGCCTTGGACCTCCATGCGCTGTCTCGCTCGCCGGGATAAACGACTGTAGGACGTGTCTGTCTATGCAACGTGTTCTGTATTAATTAATGTGACTTGTTATGACAAGTTCGACTGAGGTGGCGTCACCTTGCCGGTTCGTGGATCGACTTTCCCGCCACCTCATGTCGAACTGTTGCGAGTAAACTCTTACGTTTACCATAAACGAATCAATACATTTAATATGACGTCTCATTGCACTGTCCGTCAGTTTGTGGTAGGGCTACCAATATTTCTTCGGCACATTATAGTATCTTTCAAGATGATGATCATTCTTACTTTAGTATGGTATTTTTATACTGTATATTTTTTACAGCATAATTATAGTTACGCAGACTACAATTACAGTATAATACTTTATATTATAGTACAGTTGCCGCCCCTAGTTCGTAGCTTAATAGTTCAATGACATCAGTTAGAAGGACATTTTATATAGTTAAAACGTTAAAAAATTAAAACTTGGTTACCTAAATTAATAAACACAAAACATAGAGCCCATACTGAATTATCTTCCACCAAATATCTTCTAATTAAAAATTCCCATTTAATCAGAGTTCTCACTGCTCGGTGCAAGCTACACGAACGCAGCGATCATCATGTTAGTGAACACGAATCATCAAACGCCATTCTGCCACTACCTCGTACTTGTTTGTCAACAAACACGACATACAAAGTTACGCTTCAGTCCAAAGCGGCTGTCGAGCTCGGAACAGTGAAAACGCTCGTGGAAGGGACTTTACTCGCGGCTTGGTTCGGAGTACCACGCTGGAGAG